CTACTGCTGTTAATGTTAGATTAATTTAAAGTAATATGGTTTAAGTGGACAGTTTTCATTATCTGCCCATTTATCAAATCTTATCAATTAAAGTGAAAAGTTTTTTCTGGTGATAAAATTGAGAATGGAAATGGGGAATGTGTCAAAGAGACAACAACCCGACCATAGAACAGACAACAGCAGAAGGTCACCAACAGGTCTTCAATGCAGCAAGAAAGTCCCGCACCCGGAGGCGCCTTCAGCTGGCCCCTAAACAAATATATATACTAGTTCAGTGATAATGAACGCCATACTAAACTCCAAATTGTACACAAGAAACTAAAATTAAAAATAATACAAGACTGACAAAGGCTAGAGGCTCCTGACCTGGGACAGGCGCAAAAATGCGGCGGGGTTAAACATGTTTATGAGATCTCAACCCTCCCCCTATACCTCTAGCCAATGTAGAAAAGTAAACGCATAACAATACGCACATTAAAATTCAGTTCAAGAGAAGTCCGAGTCTGATGTCAGAAGATGTAACCAAAGATATTCTATTTTACTGTGTTAAATCACATCAACTCATAAACATGATTAACAAATAAGTATTTTAAATTGAAATTAATAAGCATAGATTATGTAATTGCTGTAAAACAAAGGGATGAAAGTGTACGAACAAGGAATTTGAACTAAGCAAAGAAATGTAACTTAACGTCCACAAACACAAACAGAACAAAGTTGTTGATTTCTGTGTCATTTGGTCTCTTGCGGAGAGTTGTCTCATTCGCAATCATACCACATCTTCTTTTTAAATTGACAAATTGAACACAATTTTAGAGGAAGCTGTTATACCGATTCCGCGTGTTGATCGTGGAAAGGCAGACTCTAAAAACATAATTGCCATCGTTCATAAAAGGGCTGAAAAGGATAATAGCTGACTACGAAATCGAAACATGAAATTATGCTCAGATAATACAGAAGAAATCAATTTGAGATGTCTGAAAGTGCAGTAACATCAGATTCAATATGTGACGGCTGAGGGTTTTTTAGGGGTTTTTTTTAAATAAAAGGATGAGCAGAGAAAATGTGAAAATGTTCAATAGTAAAGGGTCTGGATGGGGTTATAGAATAGAGAATAATGGATAAACAGTGCAAAATAAAGGGCTAAAAAATAAAGAATAGACAAAAATAGACAAAAAAAGAATAGAGAATAATAGTGTACTAAGATATACAGTATAGAGAAAAATGATGTAAAAAATTAAAGAATATAAAATGAGGGACCCCCCATCCAGACCGTTATAGTAGATGTCATCCAAATTTACAATGTAGTTTTTAAAAATAAATGATTTGTATTCGAATATAGTGTTTAAGATTTGATGTTAATGTTTCTAAAGATGTTTAAATATGATTTTATAGAATAAATTATTTTACTTTTATTCATTGTCTCTTCTTTCCAGTTATTATGTATGATCCCTGACATTTTTTCTAGTGATTTTGTATAATTCCTGAAAAGTTTAGTAATTATATATAATCACTAAAGTTACCAGATACACTAATATTATCGTCATCATCATTATTATTATTATTATTATTATTATTATTATTATTATTATTATTATTATTATTCAATTCAATTCAATTCAATATTTATTGGAAAGAGCACAATAGAGGCGTGATCCAAATACAGACAATAATAATATTAAAACAACATATAAATGAATAATAGATGCATGTAACAGCAAGTCATAAGTAAATTCTATGAATACCATAACATTCTAAGTATATTCTATGAATACCATTACATTCTAAACTCATATTAATACCATACACATATACATCACGATTATTCTAAATTTTCATAATTTTACTTAAAACACACAATCACCTATATAAGATATATGTGTATATGCACAAACTACTATAAAGGATTATTATCTGATGAAACAGTATGGTGGTCTCTCAAATCAAGAGCTTCTTCAATATACATACAAACAAATTTTAGTTCTTTTTCAGACATAGGATTTATCATTTTGGTAAAATTTTCATCCAAATTATTTGAGTTAATATCATTGATTTTATATTTAGATCAAATTTTGTTATATTGAGGACATATTATTATTATTTGGTGAAATAGACTTGACGAAACACAAAACAAAACCAAAACCCTACCCTCAAATATATTTTTATGAGGTTATTTGTGTGATTCCCTGTGTTTTGCAGTTTTGTGTCTTATTCTATACAAAAAACATTAATAATGTAATAATGTTTAAAACTGTTAAGTGGAAATCTATACGTGAAGGAGGAGACAGCAAAAAATTACAACACAAAATTACAAGACATTGAATTATATCCGACCATGGAAGTATTATAGTGTCAATATAATACTTCTATGATCTGACTCATATCGCATCGATGGCGCTCGATTTGTCTATGGTAGTGTACGTTACCAATGCTGGAACATATTCAAACATTATATAAACTCTGGGATTTTTTTTGGGGTAATTAAATACATTCTGCCTTGTGAGGAGAGGTATACTGATATTGATCCATGGCAATCTGACTAAAATTGGCTATTAGTATCACTTCTCTCCCGTGATAGAAAACACCTGATAGACTTTTGTGAATGAACAATTTGGTAATAGCCGAAACAATGTTCCAATACTAGGAGGTCCATAAGTTAGCTTGGATATCACCTGCAGGGAGAGATAAAAATTAAATTGACCACATAGCAATGAGGGTGGTAAAGGGTTATTTTCGTGCAACGTGTTTTGCCATTTTTATTTCACGTGCAGCCGTAAAAAAGGTTCGTTATTCAACGTGTTTCGTGAAATCGGTAAAAAGATCAACGTTCAAGAAATTGTTCGTTCATCGTGAGATGGCAATTTTATTTCGAGTTCTTCCGTGCAGATACCCCCCTTTACGCCCTCAGCAATTAGTGGGAAATAGAAGAGATCCTTGCATGATGTAAGATTAATGCAAGGCTCTGATGTAGTAAGTGACAACCATATTGTCACAAAAAAACTCAAACAAATGAGAACATCAAGTACATTGGAATGTACAGAGTAACATTACAAAAATACCGAACTCCAAGGAAATTTCAAAACGGAGTCCCTTAACAAATGGCAAAATCAAAAATTCAAACACACCAAACGAATGGAAAACAACTTTCATATTCCTGACTGGTACTGGCATTTCCTTACGTAGAAAATTGTGATTTAAACCTGGTTTTATAGCTAGCTTAACCTCTTAACCAGAGATTTGACGCAGGAAAACTCAGAGATATGAAAACTAAATATGACTTCAAATTAGACTGAAGAACCACTTTCAACTCCTAATACAATTTACAAACATTAAAAAGTGAAATAGTGGACCGGCAATGACAAGTAGTGGTAAAACTTTTTAAAAAGACCAATGTAAAAATCTTACAAACACAAAGAATATATCAAACCAGGGAGAGGGTTCGTTTGATTCGCCGAGCGTCACTGATGAGTCTTTCGTAGAAGAAACGAGTGTCTGGCGTACACCATTTCAATCCTGGTATCTATGACGAGGTTATTGACAACAGGAAAGATCTAAGGAAAATGTCATACACTCTCGGACATACTGAGAGAGAGATTACTTTTACCAGGAAGTAATGAAAGCCTCTAGAAAAGGTAGAAAGATTTCATTGCAGGGATCCTGATAGAGGCTTAAAAGGCAGAGCAAATAATAAGTGATGTTTATCAGATGAGACACAAACAGTTTCTACTATATATTTATATAATATCTGAAAGAGAGCAATAGAATAGATGGAAATAAAAGTATTTAAAAGAAGTATTAAATAGGTCAGAGGCAGAAACAACAGCAAATACTAGTATACATTATGCAAAACAGGAGCAACAGATACAACATTGACAGTAAACATTCTACACCAAACATTCAAAAGGACTTGGCAATGTAATAAGATACATAAAATCTGGTCAGAAGGAAATATAATAAAATGCATAAGAAAGGTGATATCACAAACTGCAATAACTGGAAGCGAATCACATTATTATCAACTCCAAGTAAAATTTTCAGCAAAATACAGATAGATAGGATTAAAACAGCAATTGGCAACAAACTCAGAAAAGAACAGACAAGTTAAAAAGAAAGGAAAGAGATGTTGCTACCATATATGAGGGGTTGGACAGGTACCAAAATTTGGTTAAGGGTACATGTATGCTGTGTCATATTTCAGTAGTATACTTTAAAAAAAGGTCAGTTAGTAAAAATGTATACAGTCAAAGGTCAAAATTGTTTCACCTTTTAAAAATTCCGCTATTTATTTCATATACAAATTATCTTTTTATAAAAATTCTCCTACGGGGCGTTATTTCTTGTTCGGATTGAATGAAAATTTAACCGTTGAATATGAAAATGCCCACGGTCTACAGTTTCTTGCAATAATTATGTTTTATTAAATAAATCACTTTTCAAAGACAACTATAAAATTCTGCATGATAAAAATATAGGCTATATGGCGAAAATGAAACTTAATTTCAATATTTGTAAAATTACTAAATAAATAATGATTTCTCGGTTATGATCAGTAATGACCTATCATAAAAACATAAAAAAAAGTGTGTTTAAATCAACTATATAGAGGAATTTCAGAGGGGTGAAACACTTTTAACAGAAGACTTATCATTTAAACCTTGTTGGTATGGGTTTTATGAGTTGACATGGGTCACAGTTTATGATCGAGTTGACATGGGTCACAGTTTATGAGTTGACATGGGTCACAGTTTATGAGTTGGCATAGGTTTTATGAATCAAAGCAAAACATCTTCATTAGAAAATGATGCATATATGCTGATCTGATCATCTCATATGCCTAAATTAACACACTTTTACTTCAAGGCCGCTTTCAGCACAATTGTGATGCTAAACCCATGGAATGTGAACTAAAACGTCTAATAAAACGTGGATAATATAACGTGGGTTCGGAGTTGTAGCATATCTTTTAGTACTTTCAAATAAACTGTAATAGAATACACGTTTCATCCCAGAATCACGAACGTCCCCAATAGTTGCACGTTCTCAAGGTTGAAATTTATGTAAGTTGCGTCTTGTAGTTTAATTTTACAGTGATCGGTATCTGAACAAAACGAAATTATGCATTCTCTAATCACCGACCTATATTATGCTCTATTGCCACCAAAGGAATTCCCAAATTAACAGATTTCCCTGGATTATATGGCGATAAGGGGTATAAACACTTGTAGTATACAAATTTTGATATGTTTCACTGAATTAAAAACTTGAATTCTAAATTTTTACAACATAATTTGTAGACAGATTTCCTGAAATGGAAATTTTTTATCTCACATTTTTGTCAGTTGCTCAACATGAACAATAAAAAATGCAACTTGCTAGTGTAACGGAAATAGATTTTCCCAAGTTCACGGAATATTGGATAATAAAAGAAATGCTTTCAAGCTAGAATAATTTATTCTACGTGAATAAAATACACATCAAGTTACAAATTGTAGCAATCAAATTTACAAGTATAATTTAAATGTACGGTTAGAACAGTATCTCACCTAAATAAAGTGAATTCAAAGATCAAGCAAGTTACGGACAGTAGATTCCGTCTTATTCCAATTGCTTTTCAGTTAAGTCTGACGTCATAATCTTCCGTGCAGCACGGGCCGGGCCACCGGGCCGGCCGGGACATCGTCAGAACGAGGGTGTCCCGGCCGGTCCTATCGGAAGTGGACCGACAAACCCAAATAGCAAAACGACCATAAAGCCGTGTAAAAGCTATTTCAATATAATAAACATGACATAAAAGCAAATACCATTACACTAGCAAAAAAATTCCGAATTAACATCAATTTCCTATCCCAGAACCGTAATATCAAGAGTATCATTTTGGAGAGAAAAATGTACATAACATACCTAATTGCTGTACCTTAAAAAGTCATATTTACTCAATATTCATCAATGAGTATACCCTCAAACCTTTTCATTAGGGGCATTGAGAAAATTAACAGACTTCTTCTCGTTCGAATTGTTTCATATCTATGTTGGGGCATTTATAGTTGACTATGCTGTATGGGGTTTGCTCATTGATGAAGGTGGTACTGTGACCTATAGTTGTTTATTTCTATGCCCTTTGGTCTCTGTGGAGAGTTGTCTCATTGACAATCATACCACATCTTATTTTTATATTTACTTTCATGACTTTGTGAAACACCAGTAACATGAGTAAGAATGCTGTGAAGAAATCTATCAGCAATGTATAGATGGAATGGATTAATAAGATATTACCATAGTTATATGGTACACATGTTGAGAAAGTCTTTATATTTATAGTTACAGAATGTTGAAGCATGCTATCCGGTGGAGTGGATTAATACGATGTTATAGTACTCAGGTGGATAAAGCAGCCCTCAGTAAATTAAGAAAAAAGACAGGAATTGCTTTCATTAACTGCAAGAAAGCTTTACTGAAGTTTGATAATAATGTTGAACAGGTAATTTTGACCAGTATGTATTTAAATGGTAAATTTCTAGGGGGATTTAAACATGTTTGGCAGATATTCCTTATTCACATCAGTCAAGGGTATAACTTAAATAAGTTATTAGAGAAAAATAACATACATGTACATTTGTTATTGTGGACTAATAAATTTAAAAAACTGTGATAATATATGTATGTTACATGTTTCAAAGGGGCAATATACATCCTTTATTTTGTTAAATTGTATACAAGTTCTATTGATCATTGTTGATATTATTATTGTCTTTATGTATACTAAACTTTAGAAAGATATAACAGTTCATAGTTTGCCAATCATGCATAGTACACCTATGTTATTACAGAAAATGTAAGCCTATAATAACTAAAGGGTGTTATTACATGTTTTTGTATTACAGCTTCTCTACATCTCTTCAAAGCCTTTGCTCACACATATATCACAAAGTATTTTAATTTATTGTAAGAAATAATGCTCAGAGCATGTAATGAGGTTCTGTGCAAGATTCAAGGTTATGTATTAAGTTACTGCTCAAAGTTTCAAGAATTCTCAAGTGCCCACTAAAAATAAAAATATTTATGATATATTTAACTAATAACAAACATATGTCATGTATGTTACTACAGATTAAGAAAAAAAGAGTATACAACTCATGAAAGTACAATGTATCTGTAATAACACATGTATGTTATTTCTCTAATAACTTATTTAAGTTACACCCTTGACTGCTCATACATATACATGTATAAATATCCTTAACATGATTAATGTTATTTTTGATCCCTGCATGACAGGTTTTGGGGGACATAGAAATACTGAGATTCCGTCCATGCATCTGTGCACCTGTCTGTCCAGGCTTGTACGAGTATCATCATATACTATTCTTTTTAGATTTTAATCAAACTTATATCAGAGGTTTATATCAGGAATGTCTAGGACAAGTTTAGAAATCAGTGCCGATCAACTGTAAAATGTAAAAAAGTTAAAAGAGTTAAAATATGCCTCTTGGAAATAATAATTATATGGAAAATTGCATTTTAAGCGCTCTCATGTGTGCAATATTGTCTGACTTTTATCAAACTTATATCATGTATATCAGAGGTTTATATCAGCAATGTCTCGGACAAATGCAAAATATGTCCCAGTATAAAATATAAAATTCTGATATTATACCATCTTCGCCAGGTGTTTTGTTCAGTTTAAGTAATTTAAGTACCTTTTCTACTTAGCATATATTTATATCTCTATCTAACATTTCTTTTTCATCTTTACTTACCTTATTTATTACAATGTATTATGAACTGGCCGCTGTTTTGTCCCAGCCTTCCGTAGCAAAAAGTTTAGTATAAAATTTTACTTGTTCATTCAAGATAGAATCAATGTCACATTTATACTCACCGTTTTCTTTTTTTACACGTTGCCATAATTTGTTCCACTCATTTTTCTTTTTCCCAATTGAAAAAGTATTTGGTCGACCTTTCCCCAGCTTCAGCCCATTTCGTCTGTGATCTAATTTTTGCAGGTATTTGTATAATATTCCTTAATTTTATCTTTCTTTATCTAAAATTTTGTCAGATGATTTATTTGATTCATTCGATTGAAGTTTTAATTTTTCAAGCTGTTTTTCTAAAGCTATGATGTATTTTTGCTTTGATAAACAGTTTAGTTTTTGACTATTTTCCTTAGTCAAAAATTTAATCTTTGATTTTGTTACACCCACCACTCTTGAATGCTATTAAATCGAACTTTACATGTTACCCAATTTTCCCAAAATGTTTTAAATGCGTTTGAAAATTCATCTGTCTTATTTTTTATACGCCCGCTTACGGTACGTATTATGGTATACCATTGACCGTCTGTCCGTCCGTCCGTCCGTCGTCAACATGTCGGACATTAATTCAAAAACGCTTTAACCAATATGCATGAAACTTTCGTGAATTGTTAATGTCTACTGACGTGAGCTCCCTTTCGTTTTTTATAAATTTCGGATGTACCGTTTCCGAGTTTTGGGGTTTTATTCATTGAAAAAGGGGGGATTTTCCAGTTTTCGGACAATAACTCAAAAAAAAATTCACCAATTTGCAAGAAACTTTGGTAAATTGTTTATTTCTATCGACATGAGCTCCCTTTTGATTTTTATAAATTTCAGACTATACGTTTCTGATTTATGGGGTTTTATTCATTACAAAAAGGGGGATTTTTCAGTTTTCGGACAATAACTCAAAAATGCTTTCAGCATTTTTTATGAAACTTTGGTAAATTGTTTATATCTATTTTTGTAAGCTCCCTTTTGATTTTTATAAGTTTTCGATTTTACGTTTCCGAGTTATAAGAATTTATTTGTTTATAGTCTGACAACAGATTTACTAAGTATTGCGCAACAGCACAGTGTATTGTACAACAGCAAGAAATCTTTCATATAACCAATTTCAAGTTCTTTGACTACATTTATTCAGAAACCTATAATATATCAAATATTTAATTACAATCCAAATTCAGACCTGTATCAAGCTTGAATATTGTGTCCATTTTTGCCCCAACTGTTCAGGGTTGGACCTCTGCAGGCATATCCAGCTGCACTCAGCGAAGCAGTTTATATTTAGATTCATGATCCACATTCCCAGTCCTCTTTCAATATCATCTAATTTTATTTTTGAAGTAACTATATACATGTCAAATGCATGTCAAGATCACTAAAAGGAGTTGTGAATATACACGTATTTGAAATTTTGCAGCTTAGAGATTTCGTATAAAAAGTATAATATATTCTTGATTTTGAATTACCTCTTTGAAAACTATACCGTCTATTCATGCTATTTGTTGGAAATTTAGATCTCCATTTATCATCTAAAACAAATGTCAATAAAAGACTTTTTAGTTCCTTTAAACCTGTATCATCATTTTGATGCAAAGGGGCCCTTTCTAGTTTTCTGTTTAATGCACTATTGAAATCTCCTAACATGCCGAAGAAGATATTATCATGATCTTTCTTGATGTTTTTTTTTCCTCTTTTACAAATCTTGTATATAGATTTGTTGATATTTTACAGGCAGAGAAATGGTTGCAAGAGGAAGCAAAGAAGGAAGGATGGGCAAAAGCTACAAAGTTACAGAATAGGAAAATGGCTCAGGGACTTGTTGGTTTAATTTATGACAAAAGTCATGTTACTATGGTAGAGGTAAGATATACCATGATAATATCTATGCTATCCACCCTCAGCTCACTGTCTCTGTAGATCTGCTTGTCTTTAGTTGAAAAAATAAGCAAAAGATTCAAGGATTAAGAATAGCAATACTGCGCTTAGTTGATTAATGATAAAAGAGTTTATTATGACAAAGATATAATGTTATATATTAATTTTCTGATATATAGTTTGTTAGTCTTGAATAAGAGAGTGTTATCAGTTTGACAACACCAACAATTGTTTAAGTTTGGGTTAGGTGAGGAAGGCAGGGGAGACATGTCTTTATGTTAACAGTTTATTGTATTATATTTACCATGTTTACAAATGAACTGTAACATATTTTCTTAGTAAGTAAAGACGAAGAGAAATATTTAACATCCAATTCATCTCAGATTATTATTCAATGGCTTTTGTTATTATTTTCAGGTTAATTGTGAAACCGATTTTGTAGCCAGAACAGAAAAATTTAAAACTTTTGTAACCCACCTAGCAACAGTTTGTCATCAACACAGCAAACATATCAATGATACAAAGGTAGGGTATTGCCATGATAACCAGAGGTTAAGTTCACCAGATTGTTTAGATCAAAATGGACTGAATATTTTTCTACTTATCTGAATGTAGATTGAACAGAATGGAGTTATTATGTAAAATATTCCTCAAAGCCTGCCTTATAAATAATTTTAAGGATATTTCATAACATTACTTCTTACCAACTTGATAATGTATTTCATTTAATAGGATAAAATTTTTAGATGTGCAATAATACGAATATGTAAACAATAAACTATGTGCATATGTCAAAAATGCTGGCTATTTAGAAGATTAGTTTGTTTACATATATATGTACAACAGATAACATTTGTTTCTCTCACTTGCAAATTAATTTCCATTTTAGTCCTTCCTAATAAAATCTGAAGTAGATGTAACGACAACGGCACACCATATCAGAATTCATGATTTGATCTGGACTGTAAATTAATTTTCTTTTTAGTCTCTCCTACTGAAATCTGAGGTAGATGGAGTTAAATCTGGGACAGACAACAGCAGTACAATAGCAGACTTGGTTGCCATGGAGATAGGAAATATTGGAGAAAACATGCAACTAAGACGAGCCCTATTTTATAAAGCTACCAATGATTTACAGTTAGGGTCTTATGTCTATGGTCCAGCAGGTAATATTTACAGTTAGGGTCTTATGTGTATGGTCCAGCAGGTAATATTTACAGTTAGGGTCTTATGTCTATGGTCCAGCAGGTAATATTTACAGTTAGGGTCTTATGTGTATGGTCCAGCAGGTAATATTTACTGTTAGGGTCTTATGTGTATGGTCCAGCAGGTAATATTTACAGTTAGGGTCTTATGTGTATGGTCCAGCAGGTAATATTTACTGTTAGGGTCTTATGTGTATGGTCCAGCAGGTAATATTTACAGTTAGGGTCTTATGTGTATGGTCCAGCAGGTAATATTTACTGTTAGGGTCTTATGTGTATGGTCCAGCAGGTAATATTTACAGTTAGGGTCTTATGTGTATGGTCCAGCAGGTAATATTTACAGTTAGGGTCTTATGTGTATGGTCAAGCAGGTATGATACTTTAGCCTTCTGACATCAAATGTTAAAATAGACTTTAACATGTTTAACCCCGCCACATTCTATATGTGCCTGTCCTAAGTTAGGAGCCTGTAATTGAGTGGTTGTTGTTTGTTGCTGTTGATCATATGAGTTGTTTGTTTATTGTTTAGTACAGTTGCACCTCTGTCTCAGGATAAGGGGTAAGGTATGGCGCCCACTAACATGTTTAACACTGCCGCATTCTGTATGTGTCTATCCCAAGTCAGGAGCCTGTAATTCAGTGGTTTCGTTTGTTGCTGTGTTACATATTTGTTTTTCGTTCATTATTTTGTACATCAATTAGGCCATTAGTTTTCTCGTTTGAATTGTTTTACATTTGTCATTTTGGGGCCTTTTATAGCTGACTATGCGGTATGGACTTTGCTCCTTGTTGAAGGCCGTACGGTGACCTATAGTTGTTAATTTCTGTGTCATTTGGTCTCTTGTGAAGAGTTGTCTCATTGGCAATCATACCACATCTTCCTTTTCATATTATCTGTCTGTCAGAACTATCATACACCCAGTTATTCCTGTGAACTAGATATATTTATTTACATAAAAGCCTGGATTTCATTGCAATCTCCTTGAAGCCTCTAGTTCAGGTGGATTTTTCATGTTTATATAATATGTTTCTTAGTTCCTCTTTAAAAAGAGTCTTCAATAGTATAGCAACATTTTTATGCCCCCACCGTAGCGGAGGGGGCATTAAGTTTTACCCTTGTCCGTCTGTACGTCCGTCCGTACGTCCCAAAATTGGTTTCCGTTCTCTAACTTTAGTTTGCCTCAACCAAATGTTATGAATCTTATACACAATGCTTACTAACACATGACACAGATCAAGTTTGAATTTGGGTGGTGTCACTTTTACCGTTCTAGAGTTATGCCCCTTTACAAATGGAAAAATTGCTGAATTTTTCATTTCCGTTCTCTAACTTTAGTTTGCCTAAACCAAATGTTATGAAACTTATACACAATGCTAATTACCACATAATTCAGATCAAGTTTGAATTTGGGTGGAGTCACTTTTACCGTTCTAGAGTTATGCCCTTTACAAATGGAAAAGTTGCAGAATTTTTAGTATCGGTTCTCTTACTTTAGTTTGCCTCAACCAAATGTATGAATCTTATACACAATGCTTATTACCACAAAACACAGATCAAGTTTGAATTTTGGTGGTGTTACTTTTACAGTTCTAGAGTTATGCCCCTTTACAAATGGAAAAATTGCTGAATTTTTAGTTTCCGTTCTCTAACTTAAGTTTGCCTCAACCAAATTTTATGAAACTTATACACAATGCTTATTACCAAGTACAAATTTGGGTAGTGTCACTTTTACTGTTCTTGAGTTATGTCCCTTTATAACGTTATATGCAAGCGGGGGCATCATCTGTGTCCCATGGACACATTCCCCATTTATTTGAAATATTAAGTTTTCAAGGTTGAAAGGACCATAAATCACACTTTTACTTGTCATTTTTACGTGAGATGGATTTGGCTATACTTTTTCGGTCTCTTTTGGTCATATAGCTGACGTGTTTAAGTATTATTACTCCTGGTTTTCAAATTTTTTGGTTCCTGATGAAGATAAATCCAGGATAACGCTTTGAACACACAAAATATGATGTGAGGCACTCAAATTAATAAGAATTATAAGTGAAATGAAAATTTTATATTATGGGTGGTTGGGGTCTATGAAAAATGCCTCCCATCATATTAAAAATTGAGTATGTTTGGTTGGTGTGTCATTGTAATTCATACCTGAATTTATTTAACTTTCAAACATATGGCCTTTAAAAAAAATATTATAATATTTCAAGGGAGGTAACTCATTAAAATCATTGACATAATTTTCTTTATTCGCAATGGCACTGGGATCCTCAGCTGATGAATAATGATTGTATTTTTCTTTAAGGTAAACCACTGTGGATAAAGAATGTTCAGCTAGGAAAATATGCCGCTGTTGTTCAATTTAGTCAAATAATAAATGGTACAAAAGTTATCCCAGGTCATAGCCTTAGTCAGCAACTAGGTCAACATATTGTTGGCATGAATCCAAAAACAATTGGTAACTATGACGATATAGCTATAGAAAGTAGTAAAGATGAAGAGACTGAAACTGATGAAAATATGTCAAACAACAGCTCGGCAGAGAATACAGAGAAATTTGAAGATGAGGCTAAAGATTCAAGAGAAGGAGAAAGTGATGATGAAATTGAAAATTTACCGAAAGAAAAAGAAAAAGATGAATCGCGTTTCTTATTTCAAGAATATTTAATGGACCCTGATACAAAAGTATATGAAATTTTAACAGAGAACAATATGAAAGTTATGGATTTTGTCAGATTTGAAGTTGGTGAAGAACTTCCTGAAGAAACTGAAGCAGATGAAAAAGTTTCTGCATCTTCATAATGTTTATTATCACTGTTAAATGTTGTTTAGATCAAAGCTTCTGAATTAGGAGATGAATAAGTGTCTTCATCATCATTATGTTTATTTTCACTGTTAAATATTATTTAGAGCCAAGATATTAATTGCTATTGACAACTAAAAATACACTGCAACCAGCTGGTGGTTTTGTAATTTTCACAGGTAATGGTGGGAAGTGGGTACAAAGTGGGTAAAATTTCTACATAGTACACATAATTTTTTTTAATTATCATAAGAATTGAAAATAATTTACCTGGGAAATGGTCTAAGCTTTTGAATGCAATGTTTTTAAATAAATCTACGGTTCAATTTAACTTGGCATGAGTGGTCTGCCCATGATCTAAGGTTTAATTTTATTTGGCAGGAGTGGTCTGCCCATGATTTTGTAGTTGGAAATGTCAAAATCTACTTGAGGTGTAGTATTTACAAGTTTTTGAGAAGATCAAATATTCTAGAGAAGAAAGAAGGGTTTAATTGAAACAGCAAAGAAAATAATAGACAATTACACGATTTTAACAATTCAAAGAACCTGCAATTTAGATATTAACAGGAAAAACATGTATTATTATGTATTGTCAAACATGTTAGACATTTATCATTTGTATAATTAAAAAAAAAGAATATCTGTATCATTGTTTAAGTGTATATGCAAATAAGAAGATGTGGTATGATTGCCAATGAGACATCTCTCCACCAGAGACTAAATGACATGGAAGTTAACAACTATCGGTCACTGCATTGCCTTCAGTAGTGATCATAGTTATGTAATGCACCATTCATTCAGTTTTTGTGGCAGGGCATGGGTTTTTTCTCTTGAGACTTATTATTAATAAATTTTTTCAACTTCTATAAAAACAAGCTATTTTTTTAAATAACATACAAGAATAAGATATATTTTGAAGCTCAATATAATTGTATTTTCTTTATTCCCTAAGTTTAACTCTGCCACATTTCCATGTGTCTGTTTCAAGTCAGAAAACCTTGTGTCAGTAGTTGTTGGACATCATATCTTAATGTTTTTTATAAGCAGTATTTGGGTAATTTGGTTTTAATTGCTTATTTATGATTCCTCCTCATGTTTCTGTTTGATTTATACACAATTTTAAGATATTGGACAATTTAGAGCTCTACATATTGTATAAACATATGTCTATTGTTGATTGTCCAGTGGCAAATATTTCATGCATGTTCAGGACGGGTCTTGTTGAAAACTGTATGTTATCCTGTAGATGTTGTTTAGTTACTTTTTTGTTGAGTTTTTGTCCCTCTTCTTTGAGTATCTTGTTTTTTATTTATTTTCATGCATTCAAGTTTAAGTTAAACTTATTCTGAATTTTCACAAAGGACTTAGGTTCTAAACTTCTAAAAGGGGGGAGAGGGGAACAGCAACAAACTATTCTCAGCCTTTCAAACGAACTGACAATGCCACGGCAAAAAAAGAACAAAAGACAAACAAGTCTTTAAAATACAACATAGAAAAGTAAAGACTGAGCAACATTGACCCCACCAAAAACTGGGGGTGATCTCCGGTGCTTTGAAAGGGTAAGCAGATCCTGCTCCACATGTGACACCTGTTTTGTTACTCCTATAAAGTATGCTGAACATTCAAGGTGAGTGATAAAGGCACTTTCAATCGTCTCATTTATCAAATTTAGAACTATAAGTCTTATATATTTTCAAATATCAAGATCAAAACAAAAACCAAACTTTATCTACAGCCAGGTCAACATCCAGTTTTCCACCAACAGACAGGTGTCTAGATTATACACATTATATGAAGTTGTAAATCTTCCTCAAAGGAGTCAAAACCTGTGTGAATGACATTTAAAAAAGGGCTTTCACAGGTCTAACCATCACCAAAATAACAAAAACAATAAAATATGATAAAATACAACAGTTGAAATGTTTGTAGAGGCAGTAAATTTTAAGTTATTATAAACTGCATATAATGTTCTTTATGTGGAATATTCCTGTCTAACTAAATCAAGAACAGTCCTCATATTAAAATTGCAAAAATATTAACAGTTCCAATTTTTCTGCACCAGATGCACATTTAACAATAAATGTAATACTTGAGGCTAACCCTTTTTGACTAAAACAATGGGTCAAGTATTGCTCTCTTGTAAAGGCCTTGCTGTTATCCTGAGATGAAAACCAAAAATAAAAAGCGCTGTTCGTTTACTTTTGGGTTTGTCTTGTGCCTGAAGGAATTTTGTATGAATAAAGGGTTGACTTGTTGTTGTTTGCTTAACCTCTAGGGCCCTCAGTCATAAAACTTTACTCAGTACTCTGGAGTACACAATTTGTGCTCGAAACATCAAATCCAGTGTTTGGATTGGTCAATTTCTGAGTCTGAGTACGATAATCGTACTTGAAACTTTTATAACCTCAAGAGGGGGTGATTAAAAGAAAGGAGCTTTGGAATATACATTTATAAGACAGCAACCCAATAACACAAATGACAAGACATCTAGAGGTCAACAGTCTTCAACAAAAGAAATGTGCCTATATAATATGTCAAGCTCCAAGTAACACAGAGTCTAAAAAGATGTCATGAATTAGTACACCATATTTGTTCTTGTCCAATGAAAAAAAAACCAAATAAATGGTGAATGTGTCCATGGGACACAGATGATGCCCCCCTTGCATATCATATAAAGTTATAAAGGGACATAACTGAAGAACGGTAAAAGTGACGCTACCCAAATTTGTTATTGATTTGAGTTTTGTAGTAATAAGTATTGTGTATAAGTTTGGTAACATTTGGTTGAGGCAAACTTAAGTTCGAGAATGGAAATGAAAAATTCAGCAATTTTTCCTTTTGTAAAGGGGCATAACTCTAGATCAGTTAAAGTGACACCACCAAAAGTCAAACTTGATCTGTATTTTGTGGTACATTTTTTGTAATAAGCATTGTGTATAAGTTTCATAACATTTGGCTGAGGCAAACTTAAGTTAGAGAACGGAAACGAAAAAATTCAGCTATTTTTCCATTTGTAAAGGGGCATAACTCTAGAATGGTTAAAGTGACACCACCAAAAATCAAACTTGATCTGTATTTTGTGGTAATAAGCATTGTGTATAAGTTTCATAACATTCGGTTGAGGCAAACTAAAGTTAGAGAACGGAAACAAAAAATACAGCAATTTTTTCATTTGTAAAGGGGCATAACTCTACAACAGTTTAAGTGACGCCACTAAAATTCAAACTTGATCAGTGTTTTGTGGTAATAAGCATTGTGTATAAGTTTCATAACATTTGGTTGAGGCGAACTAAAGTTAGAGAACAGAAACCAACTTTGGGACATACGGACAGACAAGGGTAAAACTTAATGCCCCCTCCGCTACGGCGGGGGCATAAAAACAAATGGCAATGTTGATATATTTTTGCAGGAATTAGAAATCAGTGAAAAGATTTTTTTAAATGAATATTAAGGCCTGGTAATAAAATTGAGAATGGAAACTGTGAATGTGTCAAAGAGACAATTCCCATCAAAGAGCAGAAAACAGCCCAAGGCCACCAATGGGTCTTCAACACAGCGAGAAAATCCTGCACCCGGAGGCGGGGTTCAGCTGTCCAATAACAATAATGTATACTAGTTCAGCGAAAATGGATGTCACACTCAACTCTGAAACGTATAAATGAACCAAAATTTAAAAACATACAAGACTAACAGAGGTCAGAGGTTCCTGAAGATCTGAAAAAATAACCTTGCCCAAAACAAAATTAAAAAGAATACAGTCAAAATGCAGCTAATTAATGTGTTCAAAAGGAAAAATTAATTTTTGTGCGGCAAAGCACTTGCAAAAGGGTAAAATTTATATTCCATCAGAAAAGCAAATCTTCCCTCCTCGCACAATATAAAATAGTACTCTTAGAACACTCGGACACAAAGTTATAAATACACCATAAATGGTTCAGATTGATGTAACAGATTGGCAAGCCTTCTTCTAGAAATATCTGTTTTCAGACTGATTCAAGTTCACAAACTGTCTGTACATATATAGTATAACAACATTGTCACAACTGTGTTAAAGGTCTGATGCTCACTGTAAGGGAGCTACCATTTGATTTTTAGGGGGGGGGGGCTAGGATGAAAAATTTTGTCCTGCATTTTTTTTTCGTTGTAATCTCTGTCCTGCCTTTTTATTTTTCACTCTATTCAGTCCTGCATTTTTTTTTATTAGTTTATCCTGACTTTTTTTACATAAATTGTCATCCTACCTTTTTTTTTTTGCCAAGTTGCTCATCCTGCCTTTTTTTTTACTCAAAACTCCTGTCCTGCCTATTTTTTTCAAATTTCATCCTAGCCCCCCCATAAAAATCAAATGGTAGCTCCCTAAGTGTGAGATGTCATGGGTCCCCAGTAATCCCCTGTAAGGACTTGAAAATTGGTGTTTACTGTTTCTCTGCTATGATGATGGCATTAAATAGTAACAACAAAGACTGCATAGTCCATTTAATGGAGTTGAAATAATGTACATTGTATCTGGGTAGGGTGACATGTCTTCATGTGGACTGTTACGTGTACATTGTGTACCAGCACTTTAAAAATCTGCATCAGTGTTAGGTCTAGTACAAATAAATGTTCATATTCATATCACATTAACATATTCTTGTCTGATGGGCATGTGATATCTGCCAATGGACACTAACCAATCCATCCATCCCCACGAAAAGCCATAAGAAAGTATCTCATATATTTGGTTCTAATTGGCTCAGCTGTTCTTAAAGAAAAATTTCAATAGGCTTTAATGTTGAATTTTTCTACCATTGGCTTTTCTTAAGTTCTTATAGTTCTGAATTAAATGCAGGTTCATATTAAGTAGCCTTTATGGTTTCAACTGGTTTTGATCTGAAGAATTGTAGTATGTGAAGAAATGTAGTATGCGGAGGATTGAATGCTCACAAACATGTTTAACCCTACTACATTTATTGTGTGCCAATCCTAACGGTCTGCCACAATTTAGATTTTTGGTAAATTTTATTTCCTTCAGGCCATTAGATTTCTCTTTTGATTTGTTTCATATTTTGTTATCCCCTTACTATTTATAGTATTGGTTTTGCTCATTGTTGAAGGCTATACAGCGACCTTTCATTCACATCCTTTGGGGGATAGGTGTCTAATTGTCAACTGATATGTATGTACACATAACTTGTTCTTGCCTGAAATATTTGCCACTGGATTTGTAATAAAGAGAATATAACAATACAATTTGAAATCATTAACCATAAATTTATTTCAATCATAATACTGTAAATTCAGAAATTATTGCGATGTTTTTATTATTGCGCAAAATGCGACAGGGTTATAATCGCAATAATTTAAACTCGCATTTTGAAATTTTTTGTATGAATTAAACAGGATTTTTCTCAATATCGCAAAAATTAAAATCGTATTTTAGTCTAAAATGACAAAATCGCAATAATAAATGCACGCAATAATTTCTGAATTTACAGTATAGTCATGTATACACAATATTTTTATCATACAGAATAATGTTTTGTAAAATAATGCTGGGCCTTTACAAGGTTCAGATTCAGATACTGTTAACATATTAATTTTCATGGCATCCAAAACTAATTAAAGGATTTTAATCTGAAGTCCCTGTTTCAACCTGAAAGCCATATCTTAAATACATTAAGTTTTGTTTAATAGGATGCAAGGTATTTTTCAGAAATTTCAATTGCCATACATTGACTTTTGTTTAGACGCTTGCATGCCGTCAAGTCAGATCTATTCAGTCTATAACAAATTTGTCTTTTATGTACAAAATTATCAAAACTTTTAAGGCTATTCCATTTAAATTGATATGGGAGGGTCAAAGGGGACTTCAACAGTTCCACCATAACCAACATAATTTCTTTGATTAATTTATCCATACTCCTGGAGTCCATACATCAAAAGGAATTACAACCATTAATGATCCATGTCAAAAAACAAAATTTCACTTTCTCTAATTTTTGTGCTATTTTCATATTTCTTGATTGGTAGGAGAAAAATATTTCTCCTCACTAGTGAAATATCTGTTCTCGGCAAATGATTGATAGAAATCTAATTGTGACGTCAAATTTTCTTGGTTTCTTCTGAATTTTCCTATTGTGACGTCATGAAAAAAGGCGTCACACATAAAAAGTACATAACTTTCTTCAAATCTTTGAAAAGGAAGGATAAAAATCATTAGAGAAACAGATTCCACCACTATAACTTGTGTATTACGATATTTCTCCACTCTCAACAGTTAAATTTTAATTATATAAAAAACCTCGGCAAGCCTCGCGCTTTAAATATTAAAATTTGACTGTCTCGAGTGGAGAAATATTGTAACACACTTGTTGCAGTGGTGGAATCTATATTTCTACCCTCCCACATTCATTTTAATGTAATAATCTTTATACATCTGGCAGGGAAAGAACAGTCAAATTCAATAAAAACAAGAAAACTGATTAAAATAAAGATCCTGTGTCCATGCTCCACTAACAAGGATCTGACATTGTTCTGTTTTAAAAACCTAATTTGGGTTCTTTTTAGGATTTGTCGTAATGATTTTGCTCCTTCGTAAATTTGGTAGCAGAGAACACAGGTACTTGTGGACAGGATAACCTTTGGGTGCCCCTGAGTTGGAGTATCCCGAAAGACCCCCCATGTAGTTTAATTTTGATTTATTTTTTATTAAACGTTTATTTAAAATTGTTTTCACTCTATATACATACAAGTACGCCAGCAAAAATCTCAAATGCTGTTTGTCAGTAACTTCGACATATATTCCAAGTGAAAACAATTTAAATAAACGTTTAATAAAAAATAAATCAAAATTAAACTACATGGGGGGTCTTTCAGGGTACTCCCACTCAGGGGCACCCAAAGGTTATCCTGTCCACAAGTACCTGTGGCAGAGAACTGATTGGTTACAGGAATTATGATCAGTTCAGAAAAAAGAAAGTAAGGGAGCTACCATTTGATTTTTATGGGGGGGCTAGGATGAAAAATTTTGTCCTGGTTTTTTTTCTAGTTGTAATCTCTGTCCTGCCTTTTTAATTTTTACTCTATTCGGTCCTGCCTTTTTTTTTTACTAGTTTATCCTGAATTTTTTTACACAAATTGTCATCCTGCCTTTTTTTTTTACCAAGTTGCTCATCCTGCCTTTTTTTTTTACTCAAAACTCCTGTCCTGCCTATTTTTTTCAAATTTCATCCTAGCCCCCCCATAAAAATCAAATGGTAGCTCCCTAAACAAAGCGTAGATGCAGGTTCTTCATTTCAATCAAAACATTTAGAACCAGTTGAAATGTTCGCAGGTAAAATTATTCTGACATAATTGTTGCATTCCTTTATAAATAAATGAGTTCAACATGAGCAAGTTTCATTTCAACAGATCTCACTTTTTACAATAAAGTAACATATTTTTTTTTTAAAAAGCCAAAGTTTTGGATAACATACATGTATTCTATCCCAAAAATGCAAATTCTGTATTTGAATTTACAGACTTGAGATGGACTCAAATATAATTTGGAGCAGATCATTTCCTGGCAAATCTTACTGGTTCCCAGCAACAATTAGTTGAAGAGATTGGTTTTTAATTCAAGGTTCTTTGCATATAACATAAGTGTATATTAATTTCAGTACTACCCACTGAGGTCAATTTGCAATTTTTTTTTTATAATTAACACATTTGAAAAACTGGAATTTTTTACAGGAAACTCACACCTCCTGATTTTTCATACAAATTTCATGGGAAGGAATGAAAGTGTATATGTATTTATGTCATATGGACTCTAATTGATAGTTGTCTCATTGGCAATCATGCCACATCTCCAAAGACAGAGGGTTACAAATTAATAAGGAAAAGTTAAATACATGAAGGTCTGAATTGGGGGTCCTTCATTTATGTAATCTTTTTCTCTATTCTGTAAACCCCATCAAGACCCTCTTACATGGGAAGAGAACATGTGATACAAGAATAAAACTTGCGTCAATTGACATTAATTGTTAACAATACAGTTACTTATCATTGTCAATTGACATTAATTGTTAACAATACAGTTACTTATTATTGTCAATTGACATTAATTGTTAACAATACAGTTACTTAGTATTGTCAATCAACATTAATTGTTAACAATACAGTTACTTATCATTGTCAATCGACATTAATTGTTAACAATACAGTTACTAATCATTGTCAAAATACAGTTACTAATCATTGTCAATTGACATCAATTGTTAACAATACAGTTACTAATCATTGTCAATTGACATTAATTGTTAACGATACAGTTACTTATCATTGTCAATTGACATTAATTGTTAACAATACAGTTACTTATTATTGTCAATCGACATTAATTGTTAACAATACAGTTACTTATCATTGTCAATTGACATTAATTGTTAACAATACAGTTACTTATCATTGTCAATCGACATTAATTGCTAACAATACAGTTACTTATCATTGTCAATTGACATTAATTGTTAACAATACAGTTACTAATCATTGTCAAAATACAGTTACTAATCATTGTCAATTGACATCAATTGTTAACAATACAGTTACTAATCATTGTCAATTGACATTAATTGTTAACGATACAGTTACTTATCATTGTCAATTGACATTAATTGTTAACAATACAGTTACTTATTATTGTCAATCGACATTAATTGTTAACAATACAGTTACTTATCATTGTCAATTGACATTAATTGTTAACAATACAGTTACTTATCATTGTCAATCGACATTAATTGCTAACAATACAGTTACTTATCATTGTCAATTGACATTAATTGTTAACAATACAGTTACTAATCATTGTCAAAATACAGTTACTAATCATTGTCAATTGACATCAATTGTTAACAATACAGTTACTAATCATTGTCAATTGACATTAATTGTTAACGATACAGTTACTAATCATTGTCAATTGACATTAATTGGTAACGATACAGTTACTAATCATTGTTGAAATGCCTCGGACATTGGAAATGTCTTTCCTGTATTGATTTTTATTGTATGTTGTTTTTATGTTTGTTATCTTTGTCCACTGATAGAGAGTAAAGAGAGGGAGGGTTGAGATCTTAAAAATCTTGTTTCATCTTGCCACATTTTCATGTGCCCATTCTTGTCCAATCATTTTTTTTAATGTTTTTTTCTATCAATCAATTGGAGAATTTGGTGTTGACGGCATAACTAATTTACAATTTGGGACTTTTCAGAGCTTGACATATTTATATACAGAGGCTAGTGTACTGTGGAAGATTGTATGTTGTCCTCTAAATGTCTTTTGGTTATTTTTTGCTGTTTGGTTGCTGTCTCACTGACATGAACCCCACATTTCAGTTTCCCATTTGTATTCATACCAATTAACAAATAACAGCATTGTCCAAAAGTCACTAAAATAATTGAGGTCAAAAGTCAAATTTTAAGGGTCAAAGCACTATCACAAGGTCATTCATCCAAAACGAAATATGTTTTTTTTTTCTTTCTTATCCTTTCAGAATGCTGGGGGTCATTCATCCAAATCTAAAGTTTCTAAATCTTCTTCTATTTGATCCAGATCTTCCCCATCAAATAGGTCCTCATCAATTTCAATATCACCGTTCATGTTTGCTGCCATGGCAACAGCTATAGCTGCATCTGTATCTGACATATTGTTTTTTGGTGGTAATGCACCAGCTTCATTTAACTTTGACTCTTCATCTAAAAGGATGAAAGTAAAAAAACAATAATACCTTGTTTATCTTGTACAAATAAATTGGGTTGCTGTCTGTTATGTTTTTTGTATCGTCATAAATCAGGGCCTTTGTTTTTTCATTTGAATTGTTTCATATCTTGTCATATTGGGCTCTGCTATAACATACCATATGGTATGAATTTTGCTTATTGTTGAAGGCCAAAATGTGACCTATAATTGCTTAAATCCACATTATTTGAACTCTTTTGGATAGTTGACTCATTGGCAAGCATACCACATCTCCTTATCTTATATTAATATAACATGAATAACTTAGTAGAAAATAAAATGCTTCGCTGGGCGCAGCTTGATACGACCGCAGAGGTCGAACCCTGAACAGTTGGGGCAAGTATGGACACAACATTCAAGCTTGATACAGCTCTGAATTTGGATTGTGATTAAATATTTGACACAGCATAGGTTTCTGACACAGAAAAAATGTGGTCTAAGAACTTCAATTTTTTTAATTTACCTATTATGGTCCAATGTCCAAAATCAAAATACATGGTTAGATTCAGCATATCAAAGAACCCCATATATTCAATTTTTGTTGAAATCAACCAAAGTTTAATTTTGGACCCCAACTTGGACAAACTTGGAAACTGGTCCCATAATCAAAAATCTAAACACATGTTTAGATTCAGCATATCAAAGTACCCCAAGAATTCAATTTTTGTTAAAATCAAACTAAGTTTAATTTTGGACCCTTTGGACCTTAATGTAGACCAATTTAAAAAACGGGACCCAAAATTAAAAATCTAAAAACACGTTTAGATTTGGCATATCAAAGAACCCCAATAATTCAATTTTTGATGAAATCAAACAAAGTTTAATTTTGGACCCTTTTGACCACAATATGAACCAATTTGATAGCGGGCCTACAAAATAAAAAATCTAAATACATGGTAAGATTCAGCATATCAAAGAACCCCATATATTCAATTTTTGTTGAAATCAAACAAAGTTTAATTTTGGACCCCAATTTGGACCAACTTGAAAACTGGGCCAAAAATCAAAAATCTAAATACATGTTTAGATTCAGCATATCAAAGAACCCCATATATTCAATTTTTGTTGAAATCAAACAAAGTTTAATTATGGACCCCAACTTGGACCAACTTGAAAACTGGTCCCATAATCAAAAATCTAAACACATGTTTAGATTCAGCATATCAAAGAACCCCAAAAATTCAATTTTTGTTAAAATCAAACTAAGTTTAATTTTGGACCCTTTTGACCTCAATGTAGACCAATTTAAAAAACGGGACCCAAAATTAAAAATCTAAATACACGGTTAGATTTGGCATATCAAAGAACCCCAATAATTAAATTTTTGATGAAATCAAACAAAGTTTAATTTTGGACCCTTTTGACCTCAATATGAACCAATTTGATAGCGGGCCCACAAATAAAAAATCTAAATACATGGTAAGATTCAGCATATCAAAGAACCCCATATATTCAATTTTTGTTGAAATCAAACAAAGTTTAATTTTGGACCCCAATTTGGACCAACTTGAAAACTGGGCCAAAAATCTAAAATCTAAATACATGTTTAGATTCAGCATATCAAAGAACCCCATATATTCAATTTTTGTTGAAATCAAACAAAGTTTAATTTTGGACCCCAACTTGGACCAACTTGAAAACTGGGCCCATAATCAAAATTCTATACACATGTTTAGATTCAGCATATCAAAGAACCCCAAGAATTCAATTTTTGTTAAAATCAAACTAAGTTTAATTTTGGACCCTTTGGACCTTAATGTAGACCAATTTAAAAACGGGACCCAAAATTAAAAATCTAAATACACGGTTAGATTTGGCATATCAAAGAACCCCAATAATTCAATTTTTGATGAAATCAAACAAAGTTTAATTTTGGACCCTTTTGACCTCAATGTGGACAAAGTTGATAACGGGGCCCAAAAATCAAAAATCTAAATACATGGTTAGATTCAGCATATCAAAGAACCCCAAAAATTCAATTTTTGTTAAAATCAAACTAAGTTTAATTTTGGACCCTTTTGACCTCAATGTAGACCAATTTAAAAAACGGGACCCAAAATTAAAAATCTAAATACACGGTTAGATTTGGCATATCAAAGAACCCCAATAATTAAATTTTTGATGAAATCAAACAAAGTTTAATTTTGGACCCTTTTGACCTCAATATGAACCAATTTGATAGCGGGCCCACAAATAAAAAATCTAAATACATGGTAAGATTCAGCATATCAAAGAACCCCATATATTCAATTTTTGTTGAAATCAAACAAAGTTTAATTTTGGACCCCAATTTGGACCAACTTGAAAACTGGGCCAAAAATCTAAAATCTAAATACATGTTTAGATTCAGCATATCAAAGAACCCCATATATTCAATTTTTGTTGAAATCAAACAAAGTTTAATTTTGGACCCCAACTTGGACCAACTTGAAAACTGGGCCCATAATCAAAATTCTATACACATGTTTAGATTCAGCATATCAAAGAACCCCAAGAATTCAATTTTTGTTAAAATCAAACTAAGTTTAATTTTGGACCCTTTGGACCTTAATGTAGACCAATTTAAAAACGGGACCCAAAATTAAAAATCTAAATACACGGTTAGATTTGGCATATCAAAGAACCCCAATAATTCAATTTTTGATGAAATCAAACAAAGTTTAATTTTGGACCCTTTTGACCTCAATGTGGACAAAGTTGATAACGGGGCCCAAAAATCAAAAATCTAAATACATGGTTAGATTCAGCATATCAAAGAACCCCATATATTCAATTTTTGTTGAAATCAAACAAAGTTTAATTTTGGACCCTTTTGACCTTAATGTAGACCAATTTAAAAACGGGGCCCAAAATCCAAAAACTTAATACACGGTTAGATTCAGCATATTAAAGAACCCCAAGAATTCAAGAATAAAACCCCATTGAAATTGATCAAGAAATAAGCAATTTATACGAAGTATCTTCTTTTGCACAATACTGTGCAATTGAATATTTCTTGCTATTGTGCAATACTGTACAATTGACAATTTCTTGCTATTGCGCAATATTGTGCTATTGGATATTTCTTGCTATTGCGCAATACTGTGCAATTGAAGATTTCTTGCTATTGCGCAATACTGTGCAATTGAAGATTTCTTGCAATTGTGCAATACTGTGCAATTGAAAATTTCTTGCTATTGCACAATACTTATTATATAATAATTTACACATCCTGTTTGGTGTGTAACTCCTACCATATCATTATTATTTGCTTTTAAATATTAATCAGAAATAACCAACTTAAAATGGAAAATTTTAAAAGAAAAAAAAAGGAAAAAAAGAAAAAAAAAGAAAAAAAAAAAATCCCCCCCCCCAAATTTTTTTTGAACCCCCTTATGATTCATCACCCCCAAACTCAATCCCAGCCTTCCCTTTGTGGTATGGTACCTTGCAGTACAATTTCAGAGAGATCCATACACTTGAACACAAGTTATTGTCTGGAAACTAGAAAAATGCTTATTTTTGGCCCCTTTTTGGCCCCCAATTCCTAAACGTTTCGGGCAATTACCCCCAAACTCAATTCCAGCTTTCCCTTTGTGATATGGAACCTTGTAGTACAATTTCAGAAATATCCAAACACTTACACACAAGTTATTGTCATGAAACTAGAAAAATGCTTGTTTTTTGCCCCTTTTTTGGCCCCTAATTCCTAAAATTTTGAGGCAATTACCCCCAAAATCAATTACAGCATTCCCTTTGTGATATGGAACCTTGTGGTACAATGTCAGAGAGATCCATACACTTACACACAAGTTATTGTCTGGAATTACAAAAATGCTTATTTTTGGCCCCTTTTTGGCCCCTAATTCCTTAACTGTTGGTACCATAACCCCCAAAATCAATCCCAACCTTCCTTTCGTGGTATTGAACCTTATGGTAAAATTTCATGGAGATCCATTCACTTAAACTAAAGTTAGAGTGCGAAAACCAATGTGTCTTCGGACTACGCCGGACGACGCCAGACGACGACGACGACGACGACGACGCCAACGTCATACCAATATACGACCAAAAAATTTTCAATTTTTGCGGTCGTATAATAACTTGCGACTGTGCAGTAACTAACATGTTGATTTTCTCTTTCAAGCTCCCAAAAATCCCCTTTAGACCTAGTTAACCAGAGATGATGTTGAATAACCTCCCTATGAATAATCCTTAGATTTTGCTGATTAACTTCTCTAGGAACAATCCTTAGTCAAAGTTAACCCTAGAAGGTGTTTGATATTCTTTTAACCTCCCTATGAAACACCATTAGTCAAAGTTAACCTAAGATGGTGTTTGATATTCTTTTAACCTCCCTATGAAACACCATAAGTCAAAGTTAACCTAAGATGGTGTTTGATATTCTTTTAACCTCCCTATGAAACACCATAAGTCAAAGTTAACCTAAGATGGTGTTTGATATTCTTTTAACCTCCCTATGAAACACCATAAGTCAAAGTTAACCTAAGATTATTAATTAATATATTATGTTCTAATTTTACCATTTAGATCATATCCAATTTTAATATTTTATGCTATGCATTTTACCAGCTTTCTAATTATGCTTAGTTTACATTTTATATGCTTTTAGCTTTAATACATAGCTTATCATGTTTATAATCTTCTTATTACCACCATGCTCATAGTGCGTCATTTTGTGTTATGTAACTTATTGCATGTGTATTATGTATTGTATTGTTATTTCTTGTATGTCCGTTTAAAGCTCATTAGAGCTTATGTTATTGCTGACTCTAAATAAAGCTTATTTATTATATTTATAAAGATGGTGTTCGATATTCTTTTAACCTCCCTATGAAACACCATTAGTCAAAGTTAACCTAAGATGGTGTTTGATATTCTTTTAACCTCCCTATGAAACACCATTAGTCAAAGTTAACCTTAGATGCTGTTTTATATTCTTTTAACCTCCCTTTAAAACATCCTAAGGCAAAGTAAACCTTAGATGGCGTTGGACATTCTTTTATCCTCCCTTTGAAACACCAATAGTCAAAGTAAACCTTAGATGGTGTTTGAAATTCTTTTAACCTCCCTATGAAACACCATTAGTCAAAGTTAACCTTAGATGCTGTTTTATATTCTTTAAACCTCCCTTTAAAACATCCTAAGGCAAAGTTAACCTTAGATGGCATTGGACATTCTTTTATCCTCCCTTTGAAACACCAATAGTCAAAGTAAACCTTAGATGGTGTTTGATATTCTTTTAACCTCCCTATGAAACACCATTAGTCAAAGTTAACCTTAGATACTGTTTTATATTCTTTTAACCTCCCTTTAAAACATCATAAGGCTAAGTTAACCTTAGATGGCATTGGACATTCTTTTATCCTCCCTTTGAAACACCAATAGTCAAAGTAAACCTTAGATGGTGTTGGACATTCTTTAACCCTCCCTATGAAACACCATTAGTCAAAGTTAACCTTAGATACTGTTTTATATTCTTTAAACCTCCCTTTAAAACATCCTAAGGCAAAGTTAACCTTAGATGGCATTGGACATTCTTTTATCCTCCCTTTGAAACACCAATAGTCAAAGTAAACCTAAGATGGTGTTTGATATTCTTTTAACCTCCCTATGAAACACCATTAGTCAAAGTTAACCTTAGATACTGTTTTATATTCTTTAAACCTCCCTTTAAAACATCCTAAGGCAAAGTTAACCTTAGATGGCATTGGACATTCTTTTATCCTCCCTTTGAAACACCAATAGTCAAAGTAAACCTTAGATGACATTGGACATTCTTTTATCCTCCCTTTGAAACACCAATAGTCAAAGTAAACCTTAGATGGTGTTGGACATTCTTTAACCCTCCCTATGAAACACCATTAGACAAAGTTAACATTAGAAGGGGTTGGACATTCTTTGAACCTCCTATTGAAACTCCCTTGGACAAACTTAACATTATTTAGTGTTGTATATTCTTTTAACCTCCCTATGAATGTCTCTTGGTTGGATTAAAAAATTCTTTAACCACCACATGAACACCCTTGAGCAGAGTTCATTATAAAATGGTGTTGGATATTCATGTATCCTAGTTAAACACTGCTTAGGTAAAGTTGACCTATATTTATCTTACCATTATTTCGTACGACACCATTTGTCATCGGTACCCTCGACTCTGGAGCTACTGTGGCATCACCTTTACCCACATAATTATCAAATGATTCTAAATTTATTTCTTGGACAACAATTTCATCGTCATCCTGAAAAAAAAGTTACAAAAAAATGCATAAAAATAAAAACTACAGGAAAATGCATAACAATAATAACACTAAAATGATAATATCATAACTACACAAGAGCACGTGACATATTAAACACATAACATAAGAATGCACAGTAATGATTGTAATATAATTTTTCCGCTAGTACCTTCCTGGTTTTACTTCAGGGTGAAATGATTATACTAGAATTTTAAATTTCCGCTCAGTTTATGTGATAAATTTTCAATGTTTAAAAGTATTGTATTGTGAGCCATCTGAAGAAAGAGAAAATAGCATGTTAATTCTGTAGATTAGGTTTAGAGGTCCATCTACAGAATACTTTCTCCCTCCCTCCGTGGACAGGGGGAAATTACAAAATCCTCCAAAGCTGTACGAGGGTCTGCATTGGGTTTACAGAATAGTGGGCCATTTTTTATGGGCCAAAATATTAAGAATAGAGAATAAGCAACAAAATTTGTTATGAATAGAGCAAAATAATAAAGAAAACAGAATTGAAGAACACCTCAGCTAGACCCTCCTGTATTATAGTGTCACATGTTTTCAAAACAACTGACATCAATAGTGTATGATAAAAGCCCCTAATTAACATTAAGGTTATAAATTTATTTGAAAACAAACTAAGGAACAACTAGCAACTGACATTTCAAACAAAAATATGAAAATTAAAACCATCAGCAGTGAAGAATTACAGATTTTGAAAACATATTTTTCGGTGCAGAACAATGGTGGTTTCATATACAGTGACAAATATCTCACAAATATGAATTCTCTTTTGTACTGGACTGAAAGGCTCAACTCGATTTTTAACATGCTATTTCCTATGTAAAAGTCTGCCATCATACGATAAAATTTTCAGACTCAAAGCTCACAAGTCTTTGTTCTTACTCTTAAGTACTGTGTGCCTAGAAAGGCAGAAGCAAATACATATTATCTTTGGTTGGACCTGGTTCAAAGTGAGCAGGCTTCCACAGAACCACCTACACAGTTCTGAACTTGACCATATTTCCATCTTCACAGGGTCCGACACTTACGGTTGTCCGATATTCCCGGGGCAAGTTCATGCCGTATTCGGACAAGTGAAAAAAAAAGTGTTATATGATTAAAATTTCACAAAATCAATAGTGTGTGTTGTTTTGTCCATAGATTACTCAGTGATAGCACCGCACAGACGAGTAAAGTGGTCTTAACCCCCTTTCAATGCGTGTATTTCGTCAATTGTTCGCACTGAATTCCCTATTTTACCAAAAATAGATCACGTTTAAAAATATTGGCCAATCAGGCGGCCGCGGCATTGCTTCGTCATTATTGTGATCAATCGGGACACCACTCTGGCATTTCCGACGCACGAGTTATTCCCACCGACCAATGGAAAGCGGAGGTCTATTTTCGTTGTTCTAACTTTAGAATTTGACATCGGATGTGTATTTCCCCAAGATGGAAAAAACGTAAAAGCTTGAAAAAGAAAATGAAATTAAACTTAATAAATTTGTCAGTTGTTGTCAGTTTATCAAGAAGGGTTTTTTGAAATGGCATTTCTTAGATAAAATGAGTATCTCTATGTAAATGATCCAATTCCCGTATATTTGTCGATCTTTTCCCTCCCTCCTTGGCTCATATATATGCCTCATAGTATCTCAGTGGTCAAGTCTAGTTGCTGCCATCATGGCACAACAATCAACCCTGGCAAGTTTTTTCAGTGGAATTCCTCAAAAAAAGCATGTAAAAGTTTGGGCATGTAGATTTCACTAATGGACAAGTAAAAGTAATAGGGCACTTGCCCAACTGGACAAGTTGGTATAAAAGTTAATGTCAAACCCTGCTTCAAAAAGGGGGCCTTCTATCCCCTCTCAAATCTTAATGGTTTGCAGCATTTTTTATAATCTGAGACAATACTAGTATAATCTTTGACATAAGTTCTCTTCCTTGTCATCTGGAAACATTTTCTGTCATATCATCATTTTAATAAAATGCTCTGCTGGGCGCAGCTTGATACGACCGCAGAGGTCGAACCCTGAACTGTTGGGGCAAGTATGGACACAACATTCAAGCTTGATACAGCACTGAATTTGGATTGTGATTAGATATTTGAAACAGCATAGGTTTCTGACACAGAATGAATGTGGTCTAAGAACTTAAACATTTTTTAATTTACCTATTCAAACCATATCATTATTATTTGCTTTTATATATAAATCAGAAATAACCAATTTAAAATGGAAAATTTTAAAGAAAAAAAAGAAAAAAAAAAATCCCCCCTCAAATTTTTTGAACCCCCTTATGATTCATCACCCCCAAACTCAATCCCAGCCTTCCCTTTGTGTTACAATGTATGGTGCCTTGCAGTACAATTTCAGAGAGATCCTTACACTTGAACACAAGTTATTGTCTGGAAACTAGAAAAATGCTTTGTTTTTTTGCCCCTTTTTGGCCCCAAATTCCTAAACATTTAGGGCAATTACCCCCAAACTCAAACCCAGCTTTCTCTTTGTGATATGGAACCTTGTTGTATAATTTCATAAAGATCCATACACTAACACACAAGTTATTGTCCTGAAACTAGAAAAATGCTTGGTTTTTTGCCCCTTTTTGGCCCCTAAAAATGTTTTGAGGCAATTACCCCAAAAATCAATCCCAGCATTCCCTTTGTGGTATGGTACCTTGCAGTACAATTTCAGAGAGATCCATACACTTGAACACAAGTTATTGTCTGGAAACTGGAATAAAATGCTTCGCTGGGAGCAGCTTGATACGACCGCAGAGGTCGAACCCTGAACTGTTGGGGCAATTATGGACACAACATTCAAGCTTGATACAGCACTGAATTTGGATTGTGATTAAATATTTGACACAGCATAGGTTTCTGACACAGAATGAATGTGGTCTAAGAACTTAAAAAAATTTTAATTTACCTATTCAAACCATATCATTATTATTTGCTTTCATATATAAATCAGAAATAACCAATTTAAAATAAAAAAGTTTAAAGAAAAAAAAGGAAAAAAAAATCCCCCCCTAAAATTTTTTGAACCCCCTAATGATTCATCACCCCCAAACTCAATCCCAGCCTTCCCTTTGTGTTACAATGAATGGTGCCTTGAAGTACAATTTCAGAGAGATCCGTACACTTGAACACAAGTTATTGTCTGGAAACTAGAATAAACTGCTTCGCTGAGCGCAGCTAGATACGCCCGCAGAGGTCCGACCCTGAACAGTTGGGGCAGAAATGGACACAATATTCAAGCTTGATTCAGGTCTGAATTTGGATTGTAATTAAATATTTGACATATTATAGGTTTCTGAATAAATGTATTCAAAGAACTGAAATTGGTTATATGAATTGAATTTATATTCAATTAAAAATTTCTTGCTGTTGTGCAACACTTAGTAAATCTGTTGTCAAGACTATAAACAAATAAAGTTCAATTAATTCTCAATGCCATATTAGAAATTTATGAAAATAAAAAGGGAGCTTACATCAATAGATATAAACAATTCACCAAAGTTTCATAAGAATTGGTGACAGCATTTTTGAGTTATTGTCTGAAAACTGGAAAATCACCCTTTTTTTAATGAATAAAACCCCATAACTCAGAAATGTTAAATGTAAAATTTATAAAATTCTAAAGAGAGTTTACATCAATACATACAAACAATTCACCAAAGTTTCATAAGAATTGCTGAAAGCATTTTTGAGTTTTTGTCCGAAAACTGAAAAATCCCCCCTTTTTTTATGGATAAAACCCTGTAACTCGGAAACGTAAAATCTAAAATTTATAAAAATCAAAAGAGAGCTCATGTTAATAGATATAAACAATTCACCACAATTTCTTGCAAGTTGGTGAAAGCATTCTTGACTTATTGTCCGAAAACTGGAAAATCCCCCTTTTTTTAATGAATAAAACCCCATAACTCGGAAACGTAAAATCTAAATTTTATAAAAAACGAAAGGGAGCTCACGTCAATAGATATAAACAATTCACCAAAGTTTTATGCAAATTGGTTAAAGCATTCTTGAGTTAATGTCCGACATGTTGATGACGGACAGACGGACGGACGGACAACGGTATACCATAATACGTCCCGTAAACGGGCGTATAAAAATGCTTGTTTTTTTGCCCCTTTTTGGCCCCAAATTCCTAAACGTTATAGGCAATTACCCCCAAACTCAAACCCAGCTTTCCCTTTGTGATATGGAACCTTGTTGTACAATTTCATAAAGATCCATGCACTTACACACAAGTTATTGTCTTGAAACTAGAAAAATGCTTGTTTTTTTGCCCCTTTTTCCTAACATTTTGAGGCAATTACCCCCAAAATCAATCCCAGCATTCCCTTTGTGGTATGGTACCTTGACGTACAATTTCAGAGAGATCCATACACTTGAACACAAGTTATTGTCTGGAAACTAGAAAAATGCTTATTGAGGGCCCCCTTTTGGCCCCTTATTCCAAAACGTTTTGGGCAATTACCCACAAACTCAATTCCAGCTTTCCCTTTGTGATATGGAACCTTGTAGTACAATTTCAGAAAGATCCATACACTTACACACAAGTTATTGTCATGAAACTAGAAAAATGCTTGTTTTTTGCCCCTTTTTTGGCCACTAATTCCTAAAATTTTGAGGCAATTACCCCCAAAGTCAATCCCAGCATGCCTTTTGTGATATGGAATCTTGTGGTACAATGTCAGAGAGATCCATACACTAATACACAAGTTATGTCTGGAAGTTACAAAATGCTTATTTTTGGCCCCTAATTCCTGAACTGTTGGTACCATAACCCCCAAAATCAATCCCAACCTTCCTTTTGTGGTATTGAACCTTGTGGTAAAATTTCATAGAGATCCATTCACTTAAACTAAAGTTAGAGTGCGAAAACCAATGTGTCTTCGGACGACATCGACGCCAACGTCATACCAATATACGACCACAAAAATTTGTTTGCGGTCGTATAAAAACAATTAATCATGTCTATATATATTCATTTTACTTACATCTTCATCTCTTTCCCGTTCTATCATCCCCTCGTCAGCTTCATCATCATCCATTCCTATTAAGTCAGGGTTAAACTCAAACATATCTCTGCCAGTTATCTGAAATTATAAATCAAAGTGCTGTAGTCCTAAAAGTCAGGATCAAACTCAAACATATCTCTGCTAGTTATCTGAAATTATAAATCAAAGTGCTGTAGTCCTAAAAGTCAGGATTAAACTCAAACATATCTCTGCCAGTTATCTGAAATTATAAATCAAAGTGCAGTAGTCCTAAAAGTCAGGATTAAACTCAAACATATCTCTGCCAGTTATCTGAAATTATAAATCAAAGTGCTGTAGTCCTAAAAGTCAGGATTAAACTCAAACATATTTCTCCCATTATCTGAAATTATAAATCAAAGTGCTGTATTCCTAAAAGTCAGGGTTAAACTCAAACATATCTCTGCCAGTTATCTGAAATTATAAAAGAAAGTGCTGTAGTCCTAAAAGTCGGGATTAAACTCAAACATATTTCTCCCATTATCTGAAATTATAAATCAAAGTGTTGTAGTCCTAAAGTCAGGATTAAACTCAAACATATCTCTTTCATTATCTGAAATTATAAATCAAAGCACCGTAATCCTAAAAGTCAGGATTAAACTCAAACATATCTTTCCCACTATCTGAAATTATAAATCAAAGTGCTGTAGTCCTAAAAGTCAGGATCAAACTCAAACAGATCTCTCCCAATTATCTGAGATAATAAATCTAAGTGTAAATGTCCTACACAATCAGGGTAAAATTCAATCAGCAATAATAAAAACATCGCAGAAATTTCATAATTGACAACATTTTGACCCTGAGTACACCAATCATTGCTCTTTCTCCTTGTGTGCTTAGTGTAGATTGATCCTAAAACAAAAATTTGAAGTTCAAAAACTATCTTTATAGATGAGTTCTTAAGAGTCATAAGATTATCAAATAAATGGAAAGATTCCTTGCTTGCATATAACCTGATAAAGGGACATTATAACTAAAAAACTGTGAAAGTAATGCTACCCAAATTTGTACTTGATCTGAGTTTTGTGGTAATAAGCTTTGTGTATACGTTTCATAACATTCAGTTGAGGGAACTTAAGTAAATGAACAGAAACAAAAAATCAGCAATATTTTCATTTGTAAAGGGGCATAACTCTAGAGCAGTAAAAGTGACTCCACAAAATTTCACATTTGATCTGTGTTTTGCGGTAATTAGCATTGTGCATAAATGTCATAATATTTGGTTGAGGCAAACGTAAGTTAGAGAACAGAAACGAATATTTCAGCAATTTTTCCATTTGTAAATGGGGAATAACTCTAACAGCAAAAGTGACCCCATCAAATATATAAACTTGATCTGTGTTTTGTGGTAATAAGCATTGTGTATAAGTTTCATAACATTTTGATGAGGCAAACTAAAGTTAGAGAACGGAAACCAATTTTGGGATGTACGTATGTATGTACATACAGACGGACAAGGGTAAAACTGAATGCCCCCTCCGCTCTGGCAGGGGCATAATTACTAAATCATAGCCCCAACGAATCCTTTCCCCTCAATACTAACATACTTGTTCACTGAAAATGGAGACAAATGGATCAGCCTTACTTTCTATTACACACTAACATTCAATACTGTCAAAGCTTGAAACACATCTCCTACCATTCTCCTTAAATAAATGTCAATAGAGATAACATTGACTATTTCTACAACTTAATCATATCTATTATTCTATTAAACTTACTCCCAACATTTTTCCAGCTTTAAAGTCAGATTTCTTTTTGTCTTTAGCCTCTCTTGCAATTTCAATCTTTTCATTTCTCTACAAAATAAAAGATTTTTCATTGATGTTAATAACCATGAAATTTGATGCGACTGTCATACAAGTGAGAGGTTTAGCTAGCTTTAAAACCAGGTTCAATCCACCATTTTCTACATAAGAAAATGCCTGTACCAAGTCAGGAATATGACAGTTGTTATCCATTCGTTTGATGTGTTTGTGCTTTTGATTTTGCCATTTGATTAGGGACTTTCCTTTTAGAATTTTCCTCGGAGTTCAGTATCTTTGTGATTTTACTTTTTAAGGTTATTCACTCAGCAAACAGGAAGTAGATACAACTTAAAATGTGTCACATGATATTGATAAAGATTGTTGTCATATATTCAGAAACTATGAAAATGTGTCACATGGTATTGATGAAGATTGTTGTCATATATTCAGAAACTATGAAAATGTGTCACATGGTATTGATAAAGATTGTTGTCATATATTCAGAAACTATGAAAATGTGTCACATGATATTGATGAAGATTGTTGTCATATATTCAGAAACTATGAAAATGTGTCACATGGTATTGATGAAGATTGTTGTCATATATTCAGAAACTATGAAAATGTGTCACATGGTATTGATAAAGATTGTCATATATTCAGAAACTATGAAAATGTGTCACATGGTATTGATGAAGATTGTTGTCATATATTCAGAAACTATGAAAATGTGTCACATGATATTGATAAAAATTGTTGTCATATATTCAGAAACTATGAAAATGTGTCACATGATATTGATGAAGATTGTTGTCATATATTCAGAAATTATGAAAATGTGTCACATGATATTGATTAAGATTGTTGTCATATATTCACATGATTCAGAAACTATGAAAACGTGTCACATGGTATTGATGGAGATTGTTGTCATATATTCAGAAATTATGAAAATGTGTCACATGATATTGATTAAGATTGTCATATATTCAGAAACTATGAAAATGTGTCACATGGTATTGATTAAGATTGTTGTCATATATTCAGAAACTATGAAAACATGTCACATGATATTGATTAAGATTGTTGTCATATATTCAGAAACTATGAAAACATGTCACATGGTATTGATTAAGATTGTTGTCATATATTCAGAAACTATGAAAATGTGTCACATGGTATTGATGAAGAGTGTTCATGTTGTCATATATTCAGAAACTATGAAAACATGTCACATGATATTGATTAAGATTGTTGTTATATATTCAGAAACTATGAAAATGTGTCAGATGATATTGATTAAGATTGTTGTCATATATTCAATAAATTGCTTCGCCGAGCGCAGATGGATACAACCGCAGAGGTCCAACCCTGAACAGTTGGGGCATAAATGGACACAATATTCGCGCTTGATACAGGTCTGAATTTGGATTGTAATTAAATATTTGACACATAATAGGTTTCTGACACAGAATAACTGTAGTCAAAGAACTTAGAATTGGTTATATGATTTGAATTTATATTCAACAATTTTTTGCTTTTGTGCAATACACTATGCTGTTGTGAATTGACCCCCCCCTCTTTTTTTTTGCAAAAAAAAAAAAAATAATTGAAGAAATTTTTTTTTTAATTTCTGAAATCTGAAATGAGAAAAAATTGCCCCCCCCCCCCCACACAATTTCTTTTTTACCCCCCCCTTTTTCCCCCCAAAAAATTCTTTCCCTCAAGATATGGTCATAATCTCAATTCAAATTTCCAATGGAGTTTGCAACCATAATTACCCATTTAAATACATCATAAAAGTCTTAAAATAGAAATGACATACATAATCATGGCTAAAAATTAATATTCCTTAATCAGTCTTTAATAGTAACTTCTAAAAATAAATTGACAGCTAATCATCTCAAGACAATACAACATTTCTTTATACATGATTTAAAAGCAGTGTAAGGGAGGTAATCAAAACGTTGTGTTTGGATTACCTCCCTTACACTGCTTTTAAATTGTCTTAAGTATTGTCCATTAACCAGAAAACCCTTGTTTTTCCCCCTTTTTTGCCCCCTAATTCCTAAATGGTTTGAGCCATAACCCCCCAAAGCCAATCCTAATCATCCCTTTGTGGTATGGAAACTTGTGGTATAATTTCAGAGAGATCCATACACCGTTCCACAAGTTATAGTCTATAAACTAGAAAGATGCTTATTTGGACACCTTTGTGGCTCCTAATTCCTAAACTGTTAGGACCATAACCCCTAAAATCAATCCCAACCTTCCTTTTGTGGTTATAAACCTTGTGTTTAAATTTCATAGATTTCTATTTACTTATACTAAAGTTATTGTCCGGAAACCAAATTTCTTCGGAAGACGACGACATGATACCAATATACGACCGCAAATTTTTTTGCGGTCGTATAAAAATGATGACTTGTGGGTGCTGAGAAAAATGACAAAAATGCATACATGTGTGCATGACATTTATTTTTTTTAACATTTTTCAGCAAAGAAAAAGTAGAACATTAAATGAACTGATAGCCTGCTGTTTCGGTGTAAAATTTCATAGAGATCCATTCACTTAAACTAAAGTTATTGTCCGGAAACCAAATGTGTTTTCTGACGACAATGACACAGACAACGACATCATAGCATTATACGAACCCAAAAAATGTTTGCGGTCGTATAAAAATGTAAAACAAATCACCTTTATTTAATGAAACAAGATAAACTTCTAATCTATAAAACATTTGTGGTTTTTAATGACAGAGTTACATTAGTACATTAGGCCCGAGAACACAGTTATTTCGTAGTGCATTTCTTTTAGACAATAAATTCAAATTAAAAAAATCGCACCTGCTCTATCTCAAAAAGATTTTTACAGTGTAGTGTACTACTATTGATACAAATAATATCAAAATTATAGAAACTTCTACCAGCTCTAACTCAAAATATTGACAATTATGTGTTAAGGGGGGCTAAAATTCAGTTTGACAGCTTCAGACATTCTAATTTTTGACCTTTTTTAACTGGACCAAATTACTACTTAACATAAAGATTCAGCACCCAATTTTTTTTAACATGCAATTTCATCCCCTTACTTAATATTTCATGCATAAAACATCAAGAAATAAATTGGGAAAGTGTAACAAAAAAAAATGCAAGTTATACACTGTTCACACTAGGGACTATATTCGTAGACAACGAAAACCAAAGGACGATAACTGTGTCCTTGGACCTAATAGGATAGAAAGACTTGACCAATTTTAATAAAACTTTGCATGACCTAAGCTTAGGAAGTTATAAGATAGTTGGCCAAGTTTCATGGCCATAGGATATATATTATAGAAACTAGGGCCATTTTAATATTGAAATTTGGATGTTTATTTTTGACGTTTAAATCAAATATTTTCAACTGTCAAGATTTTGGCCTAAAAAATTTAAATATTGCAAAAATTTGCTTTTTAAATACTCTTGAATATAATATAATAAGTATTAAAAGCAACGGAACACTCATTTGATTTATCAGATTTATTACATTTATTCAAAAGTCAAATTTATATGAGCCTGTGCCTGAAAATAGAGATTTTCGAATTAAGGGAAGCCTTACATAAACATGCATTTTTTTCAACCAATTTGAAGTTTTTGAAGTTTTTTAACCATACATTATTCTTCCATATATATTAAATGTACTTTAAATGTAAAGAAAAGTTACAAAAAGCATACCAAATGAGTATAAAATGGTCTTAGGCCATGTAAGACTGAGAATTATTTAGAGTCGATTTAGGCCGTAGCCCATATTTATATATAAAAATGCACACAGAGGCTATAAGAAATGGAAATTTGTTACTTTTTGCTCATTTCTATGCTAAGATGTCATGATACAAGAAGTCTAATTGCAAAAGGACTCTTGAATTCAACTTTTTTTTGCAGACAGTATGGTCTGATGACCAGTTTTTCACTTTTCAATGGAAAACTTGCATCTAGTTTTAGTCTCAATTGGCATATATTTGAACCACTTACCAACCTAAAGAAGAAAATTATGGTAGCATATGAAATGAATAGGGTGTACTGATCATTGTAAAGTGTTTTTTTTACAGATTTAGTGAAATATTTGTGATGGACTACAGATTTTATGTACAAAGCTCTTCACATTTCACATACATCAAACAGGCCGTTTAACCAGGGACATAAATACAAATATTCTGCACATTTTTTCTGTGATAATCTACTTTTCTCTAGATTCAGAGTTCACAAATGGTTAATTAAATTTGATTTAAGCATAGAAACACAAATATCAGGAACATAAAAAGCTGTCAGATAGAAAGTCAGCATGGTTCTTAGGCATAAAATGGAAACTGCTTTAAAATGCTTATTTTAGCCGTATAATGCCAAAATGGGACATTTTAACAGAATTTCTGTCAAACAAAGATGTAAATCCTTTACTTTTATTGAGTTTGACAAATTGAAACCAGGAAACCATTCAGGAAAGTTGCCAAAGTACAGAATCTACATTTACGGAATTCATCTCTTAGGCCCGAGAACACAGTTATTTCGTAGTGCATTTCTTTTAGACAATAAATTCAAATTAAAAAAATCGCACCTGCTCTATCTCAAAAAGATTTTTACAGTGTAGTGTACTACTATTGATACAAATAATATCAAACTTATAGAAACTTCTACCAGCTCTAACTCAAAATATTGACAATTCTGTGTTAAGGGGGGCTAAAATTCAGTTTGACAGCTTCAGACATTCTAATTTTTGACCTTTTTTAACTGGACCAAATCACTACTTAACATAAAGATTCAGAACCCAAATTTTTTTAACATGTAATTTCATCCCCTTACTTAATATTTCATGCATAAAACATCAAGAAATAAATTGGGAAAGTGTAGCAAAAAAAAATGCAAGTTATACACTGTTCACACTAGGGACTTTATTCGTAGACAACGAAAACCAAAGGACGATAACTGTGTCCTTGGACCATTAGTTGACCTGAGGTCAATCAATGTTAATGTGGTCATTGAACAATCTATTACCATGACATATTAACATAAGCATTGTGACATAAAAATGTATGGAATATCACCATGATCACACAAATTTGAAAGTAATCTATTTATCATACCTTTCTTTCCTTCCATTTTATGAATGTTTCATATGTAACCCTGGTAACATTAGCACCCAAGGCTGCTCTCTGTAAAACAAACAAAAAAGATATATTTGAAATAAAAGAAAACATAATCATAAATTATCATATAAAAAAGGCACAATTGTCAAAATATCTAGTTTATACAAATATCATACCCTGTTTCATACAGTTCAAGTTAATAACAACACACTCGACCTTGGATGAGTCGACCAGCAGATAAGTCAAATACTTTTGTCCAGTCCCTTCGACTTCCACTTAACGATGTTCAAATGTATCCACAAAGATGTAGGTTTTCCTCAATCCACAAAATTTGTACACAGGAAATCAATTATTCCACAGTAAATATAAACCAACTTATGACTGTCAATGTCACACTTTAAGAATTTATGTCAAAAGCTGATATATAGTTATAGACCATGTAGAGTTTTGGGTCTATATTACCTAAATGGGCAATTAAATAAGGGCTAAAATGGATTTGGGAGGGCAGGAAGGTCTTCAAAAATCAGCTGGCTCTAGGTCTTAAAACTTTACTCAGTACTCGGGAGTACAAAATTTGGTTGATTCCCGAGTTTGAGAACACAAATCATGCTCGAAAGTTTTATGACCGCACTACAAAAAATTTTGATCATATTAGTATACAACAAATGGACAAGTATCAATAAATTACCAATGACCCGCATCCAAAAAAAAAACTTCCAGTCCTACACTCTACAATCAATTTAATGGAATAGTCCAAAATCAAAACAACAATCAGACAAACCTCTTTCTCTATTAATTCCTCAATAGTAATCTGGTCTTCTTCTGATTCCTTCTTCTTGTCTTTCTTCAAAACAAATCCTGCAAAAATTCATGGAAAAAAGTTATAAAAAAACAAGAATGTGTCCATAGAACATGGATGCCCCACTCATACTATCATTATCTATGTTCAGTGGACCGTGAAATATGGGGACAAAACTTTAATTCGGCATTAAAATCAAAAAGATTATATCTTATGTGTACTAAGTTTCAAGTTGATTGGACTTCAACTTCAGCAAAGACTACCTTGACCCAAAACTTTAACCTGACTTTACCAAAAACTTTAACCTGAAGCGGGACAGACGGACGAACAGACAGATGAATGAACAGAAGCATAGACCGAAAAACATAATGCCTCTAGGTGGGGCATAAAAATTAATATTTACATCAAACCAACTTATTTTATATACTTTTTCTTCATGATCAGCTCTTTCTTACTGTTATGATATTGCAGCAATTTTCCCTGAAGAAGTACGTAATCAGACACTAACTTATATTGCACATACTGTTTACTTATATTTTAGCATTTTACAAGGTCATGTCTTTCTCAGACTTAAGTCTTTACACTAAATCCAATGGATGTGTACTGATTGATAATTTAGTCTGGGAAAAAATGAAATATATATATAAGTTGTAATTAGATTTGAACTAGCTTTAAGTAACTGCAGGTATTCTTGTTTTTGGTGCCTTTTGTCTTTCTTTTTTTATTGCTATTTGTTTTTGTGCTTCATGAGGATCTTTTGAGATAAGCCAATTGCAACTGATTTTTACAGTTTGTTATTATGTTGTGCTGTTACGCCACTGTCCCAGGTTAGGTTGACTGTTTAGCTCTCATAAACATATTTAACCCACCACATTCTGTATGTACCTGTCCCAAGTCAGGATCATGTAGTACAGTGATTGTCTTTGGAAGCCAACTATTAATATGGGGTTTTCTCATTGTTGAAGGTTGTACAATGGTCTTTGCTAGCTAGGGCTTCATCTTTAACTCTGATGGATAGTTGTCTCAGTAACCATACCACATCTACTCATTTTTTAAAAAAAATTTCTAATGACATTTGTATGCATGTTGAGAAGTAATTCATACATTACTGTGGATTCATTATGATTCGTTGAATGTCAATTTTCGTGGGTTTTAAGGATACAGATGAACCACTAATTTAAATGTTCAAAGAAATACAAATTTCTATACAGTTATATCTAAACTTTGGCAGAACCACGAAATCACATATCCACGAAAATGCAAGGTTTCCGCAATCAACGAAAATTGGTACCAACAAAAATAAATGAATCCAGTTTCATAATTTATATAGATAAGTAATTAAGTACCTGGAGGTAGACAATGACGATAATGACATTTGTCTGCACCATTTGGACACGCCCAGAACCATCCATATTTACCATTTTCTACAGCTTCCAGGAAAAATTTACATATCTATAAATAACAAATATCTATTTATATCATGTATATTGTGGATATGTACATGTAAATATACAGGTGGGGGGAGTGTAATATTAATCAATTGTAACTGATTACATTTTTTCAAGTAATTATCAACACTGATCTGTAATCAACAACATTTTTTTGATTACATGAAATCTCAGTATCATCAATTACATTTGACAGACAAACTGCAAATGTTTGCACCTGTCCCAAGTCAGGAATCTGATGTACAGTGGTTGCCGTCTGTTTATGTAGTTCATACATGTTTCTCGTTTCTCGTTTTTTATATAGATTAGACCGTTGGTTTTCCCGTTTGAATGGTTTTACACTAGTAATTTTTGGGGCCCTTTATAGCTTGCTGTTCGGTGTGAGCCGAGGCTCCGTGTTGAAGACCGTACCTTGACCTATAATGGTTTACTTTTATAAATTGTTACTTGGATGGAGAGTTGTCTCATTGGCACTCATACCACATCTTCCTATATCAAACATTCCCTTTGTTTAAATTAAAGCCATACTGTTACATAGAGATATGTAAATAATTATTTTCTCTTTTCCTTACAGTATATATCAGTCTATGGTAAGTGTCTCACACGAAGCAATGAATGTGGTTTTTAATTTGATAGATGCTTTTGTTCTTTTTTGTAAATAATTGTTTGTTTTGATATTGTAACACAGTGATGACTGCTGTACCCATATTTTGACTATTTTATGTATAATGTCTGTTTTGTTCACGCATCGTTGTAAATATAACGGAATTTGATAAGACTGTCGTACAAGTGAGAGGTTTAGCGCTATAAAACCAGGTTCAATCCACCATTTTCTACATTTGAAAATGCCTGTACCAAGTCAGGAATATGACAGTTGTTGTCCATTCGTTTGATGTGTTTTGTCATTTGATTTTGCCATGTGATTAGGGACTTTCCGATTGAATTTTCCTCGGAGTTCAGTATTTTTGTGATTTTACTTTTTTCTCATCAGAAATTATATTGTGATTGATAACATTTGATTTTGTCAATTTTTTTACACTTCTCTTTTAGTGAATTTACCATGGAGTTCTGTATTATTGTTATACTTTTTGTGTTGCTGGGTTGCTGTCTTATTGATATATACCTCCTTTCCATATAATATACACCATATATAATTACATTACATGGATGTTTAATCATAATACATTATTTTGATTGGCTAACAGCAATCTCGCATCTTTCTGAAATTAACCTTCATTCCAAAATGAATTGTAACATTCATAATGACACGAGCTTCCAGAATAAAGTGCACAGGTAAAAGAAAAGAAATAAATGATAGAAATCGTGTTTTCGTGATCCTAGCAAAAAATGTAATTATAAGTATTAAATTTGGAGTTTAGTATGGCGTTCATTATCACTGAACTAGTATATATAATTGTTTAGGGGCCAGCTGAAGGACGCCTCCGGGTGCGGGAATTTCTCGCTGCATTGAAGACCTGTTGGTGACCTTTTGCTGTTGTCTGTTCTATGGTCGGGTTGTTGTCTCTTTGACACATTCCCCATTTCCATTCTCAATTTTATTCTTTTAGTAATTTTATAGGGATGTAAAAGCGTTGACCATGCGTACATTTGTTGAATGAAGCGCTTCCACACTTCATACAAAAAGTACTTAGGTCAACGCGTTTTTCACCCCAATAAATTTACAAAAAGAAGCATTCAATTCTTAAATACGGTACCAGACCAAGACTCAACTTACAATAGCAGTTTCCATTTTCTGTTTATTTGTAGCCCCATGCTTCTTCTCAACAACTTCTTGTAATTTGGTTTCATCCCAATCTTCAACGGTTTCTTAAAAAAATATAACAAACTGTTAATTGCTACCTCCACAATTACATATTGTAGTGAAATAATTAATTGCTCATGCTAGCAGGAGACTGGGGAAATAAAATTGCTTTCCTGTCCTTCACTTTGATTTCGACCGTCAAAAGCGATACTCACTGGCCCTGTTGTTCACAATACTTGAATTGCTTTCAGTTGATTTCATCATCAGCAATTTTCAATTTTTACCATGTTGATGAAACATAAATTTTTCATTTAAAAATAAACAAATTCAAAGAAATAAACAATTTATTTTCTTCAGAACATGTTATTACGAATTAGCTGCATTACAGACACTACCTTATGCAACCCTTATTGTTAACGTAACGTATTGTAACGTCATATCATTATTATGTCTTTGTATGTATAACGTCTTCAGCCAGTAAAGTAAACAGTTGAAATATATACACGTCTTTCTATAATTTACACAACAAGCGAAGTACTACCACCAAACCGAAACACATGTAGAAAAGAGGTTAAACATGTTAAGGCATTGATTTTAAAGTTGGTCGCATGTTATTTCATAGAGACAATTTTTTGCCCTTCTGGTACTTGATGTCGCATTAATGTAGTGATATGCAATTTTATGAAAAGCTGAGCAGAGACCCGAGTGATATTGATATTTACCTTTATCTTCACTTTTGTCTTCATAAATATTTCTCTTTTCTCCTTTTCTTTCTACGCCAAGGTCATGGGAGAATTTACACTTGGAACCTTTAGAACACTGACCCTGTTTAAAAAATGCACACAACACAGATTTGGGGTCAGCACCTGAAAAAACAGCATAATGAATAAATCTAAGGCGGGGGCATAAAAATAAATGGGGAATGTGTCCATGGGACACAGATGATGCCCCCACTTGCAAATAACGTTATGAAGGAACATAACTCATGAACAGTAAAAGTGACGCTACCCAAATTTTTAAGTGAGGCCAAATAAAAAAATATGTGTGTTTCCTTTTTCCCTACCTACCCTATATACTAAGCTTAAAAATAGCCTACCTTAAATTTTTTTGGGTCATTTTTCAATAAGCACTGTTAAAGTCAGAATTTCTCTCCCATATCAAGGCTTCCAAAACGGTCATATATGCCGGACATTTGCGGTCATAAAAGTGACATGATCATTAATTACTATCAAAACAACCCCTACTTTAATACCTTCTCATTTTAATCAATGCTAATTAGTTGTCGAACAGCTGAAATTTACCTGTTCAGGTGACAGGTAAACTATTTTGAACCGGACATTGATCCGTCTATTCAAAGTTATTTTCTTACATTTCAGCGGTTTGCATCTAATTAATTTAGTCAAAAAGATTTAAATTATCAGAAATACGTTTACAAATATGATTTGAAGAAAAAATTAAAAAGGTGAAAATGAAACATCGTCATAACCACGTTGTTTGAACTAGTACACGTGTGCGCATGTGCGCAGGTGTGAAATTTAATTATGCATCCTAATTTCTTCAAAAAATGCTTAAATTGTCATTGATACCTCTATCTCATGTTTATTTCGAATATTTTCTTGAAGAAATAACGTAGAAGGAGCTACTTCCACTCATTCATGCTTTGCAAACGTATATGGAATTTACGTATCCGTCTCTGGTCCATGTTTTACCATTGTCAAGATAACATCCGGTATAAGATTTATAAACGAAAGTAAAGTTTTTGACAACGTTATTTTGCACAAATAAAGAGTCTAAGGCAGATATGAGTAGGCTGATGTAATTTATTGTTGCACACTTCGAATGATGCACTGTCAATTTAACAGTTTACGTCAGAACTTCGAATTTGAATCAAAGAAAGTTTAATATCGTTTTTTTTTAATGTCAATCATTGGGATGGCCAACTCGGCAACTGATTACCATAATTGCCTTTTGTTAATTTAGTCTTAAGGAATTAAAATGCGTTATTACAGATACTTTCATGAGTTGTCTTATCATTATTCCTTAAATTGTCTAAATAAAGGCAACAGTAGTATACCGCTGTTCGAAACTCATAAATCGATAGAGATAAAAACAAATCCGGGTTACAAACTAAAACTGAGGGAAACGCACCAAATATAAGAGGAGAACAACGACACAACAAAAACACAACATTAAAATGTAACACACACAGAAACGAACTATAATGTAACAATGGCAATTTTCCTGACTTGGTACAGGACATTTTAAGAAAAAAATGGTGGGTTGAAACTGGTTTTGTGGCATGCCAAACCTCCCGCTTTTATGACATTGTTAAATATAACATTAAAATGACAACATTACATGACATGACTACAATACAAATAAATGGGAGAACATATAGGACAAAGAAACACACGAATAATCTAAATCTGTAATAACATATGTTTGTTATTTGTAAAATAAATCAAAAATATTTTAATTTATAGTGGGCTCTAGGGAACTCTTGAGACTTTGCGCAGAAACTAAATGCTTAGCCTTGATAACTCATTTTTTAATTAAATTAATACATTTTTGATAAACCATGGTAAATCAATGAGACAAGGCTTTTTAGGGATAAACTTAGCTGTAATAACAAGGCTCAGTTATTAAAGGAATGTAACTTATTATATGAAACACTTGGGAATTACTGGGAAGCTTGCGCAGAACCTCATTACATGCTCTGGTCATTATTTCTTACAATAAATTAAAATGCATTGTAACAAGCATTCTGAGAGTATTGCATGGCAATACATACATGTAGTCCCCTACCGGGTAAAAATTCATTATACTGGAACAAAATGCTAACTTGTTCTATAACTTGTCATGGTGTCAACAAAAAGAAAATATCAAGTCAATATCTTCAAGCATGACTAAAAACAGTGTGGTAAACTGATTATATGAGTGAATATTTTCAAGTCCAAGGACCATAACTCTGCATAAAATTATCAGACCGAAACAAAAATTTGAACTTGATCTGTAACTTGTCATAATAAAACTATATACCAATTATCAATCAATATCTTCAAGCATGATGAACAAAAGTGTGGAAAACACTCTAACATTAGATATGATTAATAGTTCTCTTAAATTAAACATGATATAATACAATGTATATCTATTTTTAAATTATAATCAAATATAATTAATAGTTCCAAATAATTTTTCTTTCATTTGTCACAAACTAATATAGATTTGTAATTTATCTATAAAATGTCAACAACTTTTATCTATACACAATGAAATGTAATGAAATATATACCTTAAAAAAAATAGAATATTATCTAATTAAAGGATATCACTTTATAATTTTTTTTTATATATATAGCATTCAGAAAATTAGTTTATACAAAATAACAAACACTTCAAACAATTTACCAAAGAATGTCTTTTAAAAAATGAGTTATCTCCCTTTGTACAGAAATATGGTTTAACATACAAAATGTACTTACTCTAACATTAGATATGGACCATGATAACTCAGGACTAAATCATCAGACCGGAACAAAATTCGAAATTGATCTATAACTTGTCATGATAAAACTATATACCAAATATGAAATCAATATCTTCAAGAACGAAGAAAAAAAGTGTGGAAAACTACTTTGCCAGACTGATGGATGGACAGACGGACAGACAGACGGACGGAGTGCAAACCTAAAGTCCCCTTCGACTTTGTCGGTAGGGGACTAATTAAGCATGATGTATGTCTGAGCAAATGCTTTGGAGTGATATAGAGAAGCTGTGATAACACCCTTTAGTTATTACAGGCATATTTTTTTCTGTAATAACATAGGTGTACTATGCAAAATTGGCAAACTATGAACTGTTATATCTTTCTACAGTTAAGTATACATAAAGACAATAGTAATATCAATAGAACTTGTATACATTTTAACAAAACTAATGATGTATATTGTCCCTTTGAAACATGTAACATACATATGTTATCACAGTTCTTTGATTTTTTAGTCCACAATAACAAATGTATGTTATTTTTCTGTAATAACAGTGTTCCAGCTAGGATTTCAAAAGGGCAGGGAGCCAATCATGAAAAGGGCACTTTAGCACGATGATTGATATTTCAAAAAGGGCATGTCAAACATTGTCTTATGTTTACTGCAAGGGTTTCAGCTAGGAGTTTTGAGGGGGTTTAGTCACTTTTACGCTAGATGAAAATCAACCTTATTTTGGGTAACAGTATTAAAGGGACCATGCAAGGACGTATATTACTAGCTCAGTCTTCCCTAGAACATTTTTGATGCATGGTAGGTCTAAGGTTAAGTTGCAATGCAGAGCGCAGCGGTGTTTTGTAGAATTTTAAGGCCCTACCAGGGTATTTTTACTACAGGTACATACTTATTAATAGTCTTGAATGTTCTTATAAAGGCAATTATATATTATGTTTGAAATGCCTAATACATGTAGCCCAGTGTTTCTGATTATGATAGAAATAATAAAAGAATTATAATAAACCACATTGAGTTTTTCAGAATTAAAATCCATTTAACCATGTCTTTTCAGACTGTTAAACTTATATTTGTAATATTATATATAAAAAATATATAAAAATCCCCTCCCCCCCCTTTTCCATTTTACACACCCCTAGATGTAGAGTATTAAAGTATTATCAGTTTCACCCCAAGAAAGTATTCATTTTTAATGAAATAATCTTAGCAGTTAATCAAAATCAAAATGAAAATCTTACTGTCTATAAATAACAATGAAATGTAACTGTTTCTTGTTAAAGGGGTTTTCCGAATTTTCCCGCCAAAAAAGCACATGGCTTTCAACTAATGTAAACAAAGCAGTCAATTTGTGATCATGGATTACAGCTTTAATTAATTTATTTTGGATATAGATATTCAATGAAAGGTACAGCCAGGCATTGTTTTTACTTTCTTCTGGATTAAAACTAGTTTAAACATGTTAAAAGATCAATTTAAAATAACAAATCTTTGACTTATAAACAACAGACGATCTACGGATACATCAAACGCAAATTGTCATCTTTTGAGAAACATTGAAATTGAAATGCTGACTGACCGAATTTAATGAGAAAAATTATTACAATAGTCAATTATGAAGTTTAATTAACGGATTAATGACCCATCCGATGTCGATAAGCGGATTATCTGTAATCACAACTTATTACACCTGCTGTAAATGTTAATTAGCTGAGGGTCATAAACTTGTCATAAATATGAAGACAGGTAGAATAATTGTATGTTCATCAAAATATTACGGCAATAAAGGCATGTACTTACGAAAAAAGGCAGGCCGTCTTAAAAAGGGCACAGGGCGTCAGAAAAGGGCACAGGGCGGCACTCGGGAAAGGGCAGCCTGACCGCCCTGTGAAAACGACCTAGCTGGAACACTGAATAACCCTACAGACATGATAGAGTTATATCCCTGACTGATGATAGACTCAATGTAAATAAAATTCCCTTTCTACCCACCCTATTTTATTCAAAGATGTAAAAAATATAGGAAACACACATATTATTTTATTTGGCCTGATCTGAATTTTGTGGCAATTAGCATTGTGTATAAGTTTCATAAGATTTGGTTGAAGCAAACTAAAGATAGAGAACAGAATCCATTTGGGGACTATCGGACATACAGCATTGTACAGATTGACAAGGGTAAATCTTAATCTCTGCTACGGCAAGCTTTCCAAGTAATAGATTTCCTAAGCTGTATTTTGCAAACTTTCTGAATTTTTGTCTTTAATGATCTTCAACTGTGTTCTTTATTTGATTATTTTTAGTTGTTTTGGTTCAAGCGTCACTAAAGAGTCTTTTGTAGACGATTCAAGTGTCTAGCTGAATAGCAAACAAAATTCTAATACTGGTATCTATGATCAATGAGTTTATTTACAATATAAACTGAACAAGCAAGATCAAAGTCAGACTGTTTTCCACTCAGTCAAAAACATTATATCTACATACCAGTATTTTTTTTCAGCCTGTGAGCAAAAACACAGGTATCATTTTATAGGCGAAGGGACACAGCTCTTATATATCCTGTGCAAGTGTCAATTAATTTTGAGTGGATGTTTACCTCAATGTATAGTATAAATTTAACCTAATTTGATTGGATGTTCACTTTAATTTATGTTATAAACTTAAATTGAAATGGATGTTTACCTCAACGTACATTATAAAACTAATTTTGATCATGTTGATTGGATGACGATGTTAACCTCTTTAATGTACAGTATAAACCTCATTTTGATTGGATATTTACATCAATGTACAGAATAACCCTCATTTTGATTGGGTGTTTATCTCAATGTACAGAATTAACCTCATTTTGATTGGATACTACATCAATGTACAGCTAGAATAAACCTCATTTTGATTGGGTGTTTACCTCAATGTACAGAATAAACCTCATTTTGATTGGATGTTTACCTCAATGTACATGATGTACAGAATAAACCTCATTTTGATTGGATACTACATCAATGTACAGTATAAACCTCATTTTGATTTGATGACGATGTTTACCTCAGTGTACAGTATAAACCTCATTTTGATTGGATGTTTACACCAATGTACAGTATAAATTAAATTTTGATTGGGTGTTTACCTTTGCCTACTGTCTGTACTGGTCTAAACAACATATTTAACTCATCTTGTTCTTTTTTCTTGTCTTCCTTTTTCTTGCCTGCTTGAGTCAATTCATTAAGCTACAAGAAAAATCATCAATATTCATGAAATCACATTGAATTTCATTGGCTGGAAAATTTGATCAAATATCTGCAATAACATCATTCAATTGGCTGAAACATTTAATCAGACATCTACAATAACATGATTCTATTGGCTGAACCATTTGATCCAATATCTACTAAATCATGATTCTATTTGCTGAACCATTTGATCCAATATCTAAGATATCATGATTCTATTGGCTGAACCATTTGATCCAATATCTAAAATATCAAGATTCTATTGGCTGAACCATTTGATCCAATATCTACATATCATGATTCTATTGGCTGGACCATTTGATCTATTATCTAAAATATCATGATTCTATTGGCTGAACCATTTGATCCATTATCTACATGTCATGATTCTATTGGCTGAACCATTTGATCCATTATCTACATGTCATGATTCTATTGGCCGAACCATTTGATCTAATATCTAAAATATCATGATTCTTTTGGCTGGACCATTTGATCCAATATCTAAGATATCATGATTCTTTTGGCTGGATCATTTGATCCAATATCTAAGACATCATGATTCTATTGGCTGCATGAACCATTTGATCTAATATCTAAAATACCATGATTCTATTGGCTGGACCATTTGATCCAATATCTAAGATATCATGATTCTATTGGCTGAACCATTTGATCTAATATCTAAAATATCATGATTCTATTGGCTGAACCATTTGATCTTATATCTAAAATATCAAGATTCTATTGGCTGAACCATTTGATCTAATATCTAAAATATCATGATTCTATTGGCATGATTGGATGAACCATTTGATCCAATATCTAAGATATCATGATTCTATTGGCTGAACCATTTGATCTAATACCTAAAATATCATGATTCTATTGGCTGAACCATTTGATCTAATATCTAAAATATCAAGATTCTATTGGCTGAACCATTTGATCTAATATCTATGATATCATGATTCTTTTGGTTGAAACATTCGATCCCCAGAGCTCCAGATAAGAATTTACTAATTAGGGCTTTTACTCCTCATTGTTTATGTAATTGAGTGAAATAGGTTTTTCTTTTGCATCATCATGATCAGTTCAAGTTCACCCCTCAGGCAAAGATTGAATTGGGTTTTTCACTCCATTATTCCTGAATGTACTGGGTTTTTTTCATCATTGTTTTAAAATTGAGACATTTACTCTGTTTGGGTAAAATTGATTCATTGTCATGTTCATGATGCATCAATATTATAGTTCTGTGACTGTGTTAAAACAATGTAACATCGATTCATGGACAGTTTTATTTTTACCCAATTTAGTGACATACACCAAAATATTGTTCATGTAAGCAGCAAAACAGTCACTATAAACATGATAAATATATGATCATGATGATGGGTGGTTATTTAATGTCTAGTGTTATTGCACACGGAGTTATTGCTTTCACGAGTGAATTAATAATATGTGTGATATTTCTTTATTCCTCAGAATATATATGTGTCAGTTTTGATGTAATTCAATAAACTACGTCTTTGGCACAAGAGGTGCTTTTTCTACCTCTTCTTTTCCTTTGCTATAAAAAGAAAATTTTATGAACTGATGCCGCTTGTTTATCAGGATTAAAAATTTTAGCAAGGGACAAACGATTTTTAGATTCCTACAAGGACCCAGTTCTGCCATTTGTAACTTCTCGACCCTTATCGCTTCACTTACATTTGTGTTAATGTAAGTGAGCGAGAATGCCCGAGAACTTAGGATTGCTTTTTGATTGGTGCTCTATTTTAAGAACAAAAGTAGATTTCTTTAAATTACAAAAATAGATTTTTAAATTACGCAAAAATAATTCATTATTTAGGGTAAATAACGCACTGACAGCGACTATTATGGTTGGAAATGCATAGTTTTAATAAATAATTGGGTTCTCCTTTGAATTAATTGGGTTTTTAAACGCTGAGAAGGACAATTGAATTGGGTTTTCTATTGTTTTAATTGCGTAATTATGCAAATACGCAGCTTATCTGGAGCTCTGGATCCCATATCTAAGATATCATGATTCTTTTGGTTGAACCATTTGATCCAATATCTACGATATCATGATTTTATTAGCTGAAACATTTGATCCAATATCTACTATATGATGATTTTATTGACCGAACCATTTGATCCAATATCTACTATATGATGATTTTATTGACTGAACCATTTGATCCAATATCTACTATATGATGATTCTATTGACTGAACCATTTGATCCAATATCTACTATATGATGATTCTATTGACCAAAACCATTTGATCCAATATCTACTATATGATGATTCTATTGACCAAAACCATTTGATCCAATATCTACTATATGATGATTTTATTGACTGAACCATTTGATCCAATATCTACTATATGATGATTCTATTGACTGAACCATTTGATCCAATATCTACTATATGATGATTCTATTGACCAAAACCATTTGATCCAATATCTACTATAGGATGATTCTATTGACCGAACCATTTGATTCAATATCTACTATATTATGATTTTATTGACCGAACCATTTGATCCAATATCTAAATTATCATGATTCTATTAACTGAATCATGTGATCCAATATCTCAAATATCATGATTAGCACCATGAAATTGAGTTGCTGTAAACTCAGATAGTAAAACCAGGACTTTCATGTGGATGTATGGGTTTCAGCTTTACCTTATCCAGACAGAAAGTCATGCGTCCTGAAATGTATGCGCCTTATCAAGAAACCTCGACACAGAAAACTTTATGCCATTGTCTGTGCTCACTTGACCTCCCACATGCACAGGTAGCAATGATAATAATCTTTATAAGGTGAAACGTACCTTGCTTGTTTTGACATTCCCACATTTGACTTGTTTCTCTACATGCTGAATGAACTTCTGTTGCTTTGATCCTTTCTTGTTTTTCAATCCAAAGGTTTTATCCTGAAAAACAATATTACAAAATCATTTTTTTTTTTTAAAACTAGTAGAATTAGAAGATGTTTTTTATGTATAAGTCCTATTATTTATATTCTCAAGAATAAAATTTGTGAATTTTTTAAGATTACTGTTTAAAATTAGTATTTACACGCACAGCTAATTTTGAATTATTGTGTAGGTGTTTAGTCAGAGACATATATAATTCATGTCTCTGGCAGGAGTAAAAGTAATGAAGATTTTTAATGAATACAATGAAATATCATTATTTTCAACATTTTGTGATGAGTTTAATAGCCCTTTGGAATCTTCAGTCTTTCCTTTACAAGTCTTAGAGATGAATGACTTAGTCATGTTAGTCATGTTAGTCATTGATCATCATAAAGACATTCATTATCCATGTTATTCTGTCAGTCAGGGGTACTACTTGTACAAGTATTTTTTATTTACTTGAAGAAGTAATATTAATATACTTATATAAGTAAATTTGTAGGATACTTATACAAGTGTATTTTATTTACTTGTATAGGTAAATAATTTTTGGCTTAGTTATGTCCTTTAGACATTCAGATTTTTTTACTTATATAAGTAAAAAAGTCATCCTATCTTCTTTTCTTGAATTCTTAAGACTTCTTTGCTCTATTAGAATTTTAAATTGTCTGTCCTTTGCAGATGTCTTTACTAATCTTTTAAGTGTAATTTCATGGACAATGAAAATCTCATTTGTCTGTTATCTTCAGAACACTGCGCATGCTCATTTACAAGCCTCCAAGGGGCAATTTTTGAAGGCCTTGCGCAAATACTTAAGATCTTTGCTCAATCAGTTTCTTTGTTGAATTAATGAGATGAAACATTGAACTCTAATAAAAAATTATGAGCTAACCTGGGAAAAATCATTAAAGGCATGTTTTTACATTTTAAAACTTGAGAATTTTTGTGGGATTGTAAAAAAAATTCACTTATACAAGTAAATTTTTGAGAAAATTAAGGGGAGATTATTCAAACATTTTAATTAACTTATATGAGTATATTTTTTTTACTTCTTCAAGTAAATAAAGATTACTTGTACAAGTAGTAAACCTGACTGTCTGTCAAAATAACTCACAACAGAAAACCTGTCGAGGCTTATAAAATATTATTTTATGTTATTAAAAATAAATGTGGATTGTGTCCACATGTGGACACAGATGATGCCCCCGCTTTCATATCATATAGTTATAAAGGGACATAACTGAAGAACGGTAAAAGTGATACTACCCAAATTTGAACTTGATCTGAGTTTTGTGGTAATAAGCATTGTGTGTAAGTCTCATAACATTTGGTTGAGGCTAACTTTAAAGAACAGAAACAAAAAATTCTGCAATTTTTCTATTTGTAAACACGCATAACTCTAGAACGATTGTGTATAAGTTTTATAACATTTGGTTGAGACAAACTAAAGTTAGAGAACGGAAACTAAAAATTTAACAATTTTTCCATTATAAAGGAGCATTTATATAACTCTAGAGCCTATTAAGTGACGCCACCAAAATTCAAACTTGATCTGTGTTTTGTGGTAATAAGCATTGTGTATAAGTTTCATAACATTTGGTTGAGGCAAACTTAAGTTAGAGAACGGAAACTAAAAATTTAGCAATTTTTCATTTATAAAGGGGCATAACTCTAGAATAGTTAGAGTGACGCTACCAAAATTCAAACTTGATCTGTATTTAGTGGTAATAAGCATTGTGTATATGTTTCATATCATTTGGTTGAGGAAAACTTAAGTTAGAGAACGGAAACTAAAAATTTTGCAATTTTTCCATTTATAAAGGGGCATAACTCTAGAACGGTTAAAGTGATGCCACCAAAATTCAAACTTGATCTGTGTTTTGTGGTAATAAGCATTGTGTATAAGTTTAATAACATTTGGTTGAGGCAAACTCAAGTTAGAGAACGGAAAACAATTTCGGGACGTACGGACATGTCCGTACGTACATACGTACAGACGGACAAGGGTAAAACTTAATGCCCCCTCCGCTACGACGGGGGCATAAAAACTAATTCACTTTACTTTATAGCAAATACACTAAATTAAGCATGACCATGATCATGATTAATAACTTATCCAACACAAAACCTTGTAAAAAGGTGCAAAAGTGTGGGGTGTGAATGTGAAAGGGGGCAAACATTAAAGGGAGCTAACATTATTTTGGGTGAACAGGCCCGGTTTCTCCAAACCACAGGGGGTAAAATCTAAGTAAAATTTGGGCTTAGTGATATGTCCTACCCTAGTCCAAATAATTATGACTTCTTGCAAGGCTATTTGAATTTTTCTCTGACACATTCCTTCGACGTCATAACGCTGAAGCAATTTTTTACATCTGGACTTTGAGAGAGAATTTTAGGGGGAACTTTGACACCAAATTTTGGCATGAAATCTTCAGTGCTGGTTAGAAATTTTTGCATAGTTTCAGAGTCTTACTTTTTTGTGCTTTTTGATCATGTTGATGCAAAATATTTCCAGAAATATCAAAAAGAAACGATAAAATAAGATACGATTCCATATGAGGTGAGCAAAAATTTACTTTTTAATTTCAAAATGGTTTCCCCAGAATTTCCAAAATACGTCACTTTCGGAGAGTATAAAATACCAAAATCAGTAAAATTTGGTTTACCTGAATTTCTGGATAATACAAATCAAACGTTCTGAAAATTCGGGTCCATCAAATTTTACCGCTTTTGATATTATATACTCTGGAAGTGATGTTTTTTTGGAAATTCTGGGAAACCATTTAAAAAAAAAAAAAAAAAAAATTGCAAATAGCAAAATCAAATAAAAGTAGATGGAAATTAGGAATATATGCATTATAGGGACAGAAGAATTCAGTCTATTACTAGTCTCATCCAAATAATTATGACGTCTTGAAAGGCTATTATATTTTTTTTGCTTTGACGCCTTACATCAACGCTGTAAGGCATCAAAGCAAAAAATTCGTAAGGGTTCCGCGGAACCCAGTGTCTCGCCTACTTTTGCTGTTAGTCGCAGGCTCAACAAAAATGGGGAAAAAATAATTAAAAATTTTCCTCTAGATACTATCTTTTGATTGTAAGAAGTTCTGTTTAAGTTTGGTAAAAATCCAAGAAGGTTTATGAATCTAATAGATGTTTTAAAAACTTTAACTGATGACTGTACGTAATGTTAACTGGAATAAAACTAAGTCCATTTATAAGTAATATATGGAAAACTAGAGGCTCTCAAGAGCCTGTGGCGCTCACCTGTATTTACTGATGCTTTGGAAATCATGTAAAATAAGGTGAAAATCATAATTAATAGTATTAGATATTAGATATTATGATGATATCTAAGACAATAACAAACAAGAGTGCACACGCTGAAATGTCTCGCCTTCTTTACTAATCATTGATATTATGTTGATAGTCCTAAATATAAAGCTTTACTACAACTATCACACACACTCAACATGATCCAAGAAAATGAGGTCAAGGTCATATAAACCAAACAAGAAATACATGTACACCTTACAATCATTCAATACACTAAATATAGTTGACCTATTGTTTATAGTTTCTAAGATACAGACTTAACCAAGAAAACTAATCATTGACCAATGAACCAAGAAAATGAGGTCAAGGTCAGATGAACAATGCCAGGCAGACATGTACTACAGCTTGCAATCCTTCCATACAACAAATATAGTTGACCTATTGCTTATAGTATTAGAAAAACAGACCAAAACACAAAAACTTAACACTGAGCAATGAACCGTGAAAATGAGGTCAAGGTCAAATAAAACCTGCAAGACTGACAGGTACATCATAAAATATTTCCATACACCAAATATAGATGACCTATTGCATAAAGTATTAGAAAAAAAGATCAAAACTCAAAAACTTAACTATAACCACTGAACCATGAAAATGAGGTCAAGGTCAGAAGACACCTGCCAGCTAGACATGTACACCTTACAATCATTCCATACACCAAATATAGTAGACCTATGGCATACAGTATAAGAAAAACAGACCAAAACACAAAAACTTAACTATAACCACTGAACCATGAAAATGAGGTCAAGGTCAGATGACACCTGCCAGTTGGACATGTACACCTTACAGTCCTTCCATACAGCGAATATACTAGACCTATTGCTTATAGTATCTGAGATATGGACTTGACCACCAAAACTTAACCTTGTTCATTGATCCATGAAATGAGGTCGAGGTCAAGTGAAAACTGTGTGACGGGCATGAGGACCTTGCAAGGTACACACATACCAAATATAGTTGAACTATTGCATATAGTATTAGAAAAAAAGACCAAAACTCAAAAACTTAACTTTGACCACTGAACCATGAAAATGAGGTCAAGGTCAGATGACACCTGCCCGCTAGACATGTACACCTTACAATCATTCCATACACCAAATATAGTAGACCTATGGCATACAGTATAAGAAAAACAGACTAAAACACAAAAACTTAACTATTAACCAATGAACCATGAAAATGAGGTCAAGGTCAGATGACACCTGCCAGTTGGACATGTACACCTTACAGTCCTTCCATACAGCGAATATACTAGACCTATTGCTTATAGTATCTGAGATATGGACTTGACCACCAAAACTTAACCTTGTTCACTGATCCATGAAATGAGGTCGAGGTCAAGTGAAAACTGTCTGACGGGCATGAGGACCTTGCAAGGTACCCACATACCAAATATAGTTATCCTATTACTTATAATAAGAGAGAATCTAACATTACAAAAAATCTTAACTTTTTTTTCAAGTAGTCACTGAACCATGAAAATGAGGTCAAGGACATTGGACATGTGACTGACAGAAACTTCGTAACATGAGGCATCCATATACAATGTATGAAGCATCCAGACCTTCCACCTTCTAAAATATAAAGCTTTTAAGAAGTTAGCTAACGCCGAAGGCCGCCGTAGCCGCCGCCGCCGGATCACTATCCCTATGTCGAGCTTTCTGCGACAAAAGTCC